AGTGATAATGGATTGGTTACATTGTCCTTAGACTACTTCACTTTGAAGCTTAAGTAAATCTTCAAAAATCCTTCAAAGTCTGGGAAGACATGTCAAAAATGATACGAAAAAAGTCCATGTTGGCCTTGGGAAACATTAACATTTAAAAAGTCCAAAACATAAGAAAAGAAACATAAACATCAGGAAATATTAAGTTACAAAGTTGTAAGAATCCAGGAAGTAACTGTGAAAATAAGCATTTAGTTTAAGCAAACCCTGAGTAAGACTCCTGCAGGCACAAGTTCTGTCTGGCCCTTCTATTCCTACATTAATATACTTGTCCTAACAATGCTGATATTGCTCACAACAGTTTTGGTACTTCTTTTTTGGGAAACGGTTTAGGAGACATAGAAGAAAACCAGTATCTGCAGTCATATCTTGTTTTTTTCAGTTAAATTAAATATTTCGTACCCTTTGTTCAGGCTGTCTGCAAATTACTTTGTCATTTTTCAGAAAAGATGAAAATGAGCTTCCAGTGAGATATTCATAAGCCTGTGACACAAGCACTGAGCAATGCCACCTACCTTTTAGTTTTGTGGAGAAGCTAAAATGTGATATGAAAAGTTTATGGAAATGCATTGTTCACAAGACAGTCCTTTGCAGATTGAGGTGTAACTCTTTTAACATTAAATGAATAATTGCATAAGCTAAACTCCAAGTATAGAGAAAGGACATTTGTATTCATATTATTTCTTCTGCTTTGTTAAAGAACAATGACAATTTTTAGAGGCTGTAATACTTCCAAATTCTCCTTTCAAAAACTTCATTATGGAAAAGTTCAAACATACCCAAAAGTAGAGAGAACAGTTTAATGAAGTCAATGTACTCATCATCCAGCTTCAAGTGTTAACAAGTCAATTTCCTTATTAATACTCTTACTCAGTGTCTGTCCTCCATGGTCACAGAATTATACTGAAGCAAATCTCAGATGTCATATACTTCCCTCCTTAAATAATTCCATACATATCTCTAAAAGACAAGGAATCTTTTAAAAATATATCTACAATAGTTTTTTCAAATGTAAAAAAAATTCCATAATAGCATCAAATACTCTCTCAGTCCAAAAATGTACCTAAGAAAATCAAATGTCAAGGAAACATTACCCGGAAAGATATAATGCTCAAAAACGAGCTATTCCCCTGCAAAAAAAAGGAAAAAGCAATCTCTCAAAGCAGAGAGTTGGAGGTCTGGGGATTTAATGGGGGAAATCCAGGAATGGTATGCAAAATCTGTAACATGTGCAAATCAACCATTTTTTTTTTTTGGTTGACAGCATTCATCAATCAGTGTGTCAAGAAGCTTGAGCACGAAACATTTAAAGACCTTCTGCCCTTGGTTATGGCTGTGTGTGCTCGGTGCCACATCATCTCACATGGCCAGGAAGGATTAGTCAAGTAGGGAAACAAATCCACCTAAAATAACTTAGAGATCAAACTAAACTCAAATCAGCAAGCACGGAGTATACACTAGGTGCCAGACACTGGGATACGATTTTGAGAAACAAGGATAAATTAGTCCTAGTTAATTCAGAGTTGAGAAGGACATGGGGTCAAACAGATTCATAAGAACTATACCAGAATGTCATGAAAAGGTACTGCTTCAGGTATTTTCATGGGGAGCCAGAGGAAGAAGCAATGATTGGGGTGGGGAGGCATTAGGGCTCCTAAGAAGGCAGGAGAGGCTTAGAGCATGCCAATAATGGTACCAGTGACTCCTGTGTAAAGATTTTTACTTATCCCCCTCAAACACAAGAAGAAATGTGTTTCCTAGCATCTGTGATGCCCTCACTGGATAAGGTGGGAGAGGTGATCATGAAAAGTGGTATTTTGAAAGTTGAGCAGTCCATCAGATCTGAGGAGAAGACAAGATACTTAGTGGTGAAGGAAGGGAGGGCATTCCAGGAAGAGAAAAACAGGACAAAGGGGTGGAAATTACTGGCATGTGAGGGAACCAGCAGTGTGGTGACCTTAAGAGTGTGTGGGAGGGGCTGGCTGACTGGAAATGCAGGCTGGGACCAGAAGATGGAGCCTTCCAAGCAAGAACTGGGCCTCTGTTCTGTGGCCAGTGGAAAGCTATTGACACGTTTTAAGTGAATCAATTCTCTCTTTACAGAGTATGTCTCATCCTTGGGGGGATGATGGGTGCTCAAGGTTCACTGAACTGGTGGCACCTTGAATAAGCGCATGGGCTTGAGGTGAGAGAGAAGCAGGCTACTTAGGAATTCACGGCAATGGGCCAGAAGAGGTCCAGGGTGGCAGTAATAGAAAAGAGAGGAGACACAAAAATTTCAGACATTTCAGAAAACATTATTTTTAACAAGGTGACAAAAGAAACAGAAGAGAGACCAAAGCATCATGCAAATATTATTATGCAGTGTGGAAGTCTGTTTCTATGTTCCAATTTCTGTCCTAAAGTGGGAATATACATATAAGCCATAAACACATAAAATATCTCAGGAAGGATATGAGAGAAACAGATACCAATGGTTGCAGGGCATGGAGAAAAGACTAGTAAAAGAGGTAGGGAGGAGGCTTTTGTACCTGTGGCATGCTGAACCACATGAATGTATTATCTATTGGTTAGTGGAAAGAATATATAATTTCGCCCTTACTGCCAGCCACATAGGCGGAAAATCGTAGAAAGAGAAAAGGTTTTGGAGACACATCTGGGTTCCAATTCTGGCTCTGACACTTCCTAACTGGTGGGCAAATTTATTAAGTTCTTTTCGTTTCTGTCCTCTTATTTGCTGAAATAGAGATTACATTCGCTAATTCAGGTCACTCTAACAATGGTTAAATTTAATCCCATAGAAAGCATCTGCTAGAATATCTGGCACAAATTAAATACTCCATAAGTGGGTGGTAGCTATTTTATTACCAATAAAACTTCTAATACATTCTTAGTACAAGAAAAGTTCCTTGATCAAGTTTAAGGTATGCTCATTAGCTAATCTTATTCCTACATTAAATATTTACTCTGTACAAAATGATTAATCTATCTGATGAATGCTATCCATTACACATCTGTTTCTAAGAATTTAAACAACATATTATTTATCTGCATTTCTTTGTAGATGTTAGTTTTTGTCTTTAAATGGCATTGACTAAATGTACTGAAGTCATATATTCTGAGGACTAAATATCAACCAGATGCCAATAAGCACCAAGAAAATAGGTAACAAGTTGCTATCCTCGAGGAACTAACAACTTCAGTGAGACAAACAGGTGTGACCTTCAAGTAACCATGGCCCCAATGTGGCACAAGAGATGGAATTACTGGCAATGAAGTACCCAATTCTGGACACACATCCACCATAAGATGTTCGGTTACATGTTAGAGAAGGTTACTCTACAAGCATTTTCTTAGGTTAGTGGGTTTCTTCTGCATGATTCTGTGTTTTAAATCAATTGTAACTGTGGCAGTAACAACATTTTAAGTGTTACAAAATATTGGTCACTCTCAAAAGCCTTACTACTTGTTGTCTGAACAAGCCACATCAGTATTAAAGCATCATCAAACAACAGTTTCTTTGTTATACATTGAGATGAATAATTACAAAGTATTTTCATGTGAGATGTTCTGGCTCAGATCTGCCCCAGCCTGTAAAGATGAAGCCTTAAAAAGAAAACAGCTGGAGTTTAGAAAATATTTTGTTAAATGCAGGAAATAATGATGAACATCTTCCAGGATTTCAGAAGTGTTAGTGAATGCCAAAAAAAAAAAAAAAAAAAGGAAAGCAGAAAAGAAAAGAAGAGAAGAGAAAAGAAAAGAAAGAAAGATCGAAGGCATAAGGCCAGAAGAAAATGCATTTCATTTCATATATGGCACTGTGGAGAGAAAGAGGGTGGTGGGGATGCTTAACAAAAAAGTCTAGATGATTATTCAAGTATTTCTCTTTGAAGTACATGGGTCTAGGAAGAAAAATCAATACTAGTCCATAGAGAAACAACAGTAACACATAAACACTAATTTCTAAAGAAGCTTTCATTGAGGCCGTAAATATGTTACGGATGCGCGCCCTGGAGGAATGACTGACTTCGTATTAGCCAGCAAGTCTTGCTTCTGAGCCACAAGAGGGTACACACTTGCCTTTACCTCCTAGCTACCTATGGTGGAAGCTCAAAGCTCGAGGCAACATATTACAGTTGAATCAAGGTTGGATTAAGAGGCTAATCTAAGACTATATATAGACAGCAACACCAATTTAATCTCCGCCCCCTTCCCCTCCCCTCCCTATTTCCATAAATCTCAAGATCTGAGTTACAAAGAGACTGGGAACTCTAGCAGAGCAGAGGCCCTCCTTTCCCCCTTCCCCCCCAGGCCATCTCTCATAAACGAAGTATTAGTTTAAGTGTAAATTGCTTCCAAACATCCTTAACAGGCACCATCGGGCGATCAGATCCGGTTTTCTTCTGTAGCTTCCATAGAGGCCAGAGATGACAAGTAGTGTGTGTGTTTTGGACAGCGCGGGTAGGGGGGTAAGGGGGTGGCTGACGGTCGAGGCTTGCCAAAAGAGAACTACCTTCTTCAGAGACTATTCTCATGATGTGTCCACCTCGCTCGCACTGGGGAGCGCTCCTCCCCATCCCACCCCTAGCCCCAAGCCCCAAGCCCCAGTCCCCGCCTCTGGGAAGCCGCATCTGGCGGTGCCACGCACGAGACGATATGCACCCGCCGCTTCCCACCGCGTGGCCCGCCCCCGCCGGCTCGCTGTCCCAGGGTCTCCCCGTGCGGCCAAATGTGGCAAGCGGCGAATCTTCAGTCTGGGGTACTGATACGCTGTATACGCGATGGTACTGGGGTAGAGGGCAGGCTTCCCCACCGGGGGACAGGAAGCCACCCCAGCAGGCACATGCTTCCTGCCCGCCAGCTCCCGCCCGGATGGAAGCCTCCGGCGGGGCGGCGGCCGCTGTTCCCGCAGCCTTACAGGCTTCCCCTGTCCCATCTGGGTTGCTTCTCACCTGTCCGAGGAGGTAGCGGCGACGCGCGAGGCTGCAGGCTGCGGCGATTACGGCAGCGGCGGTGGCACCCGCGGCAGTGGCGGCGGCAGACAATGGAGGAGTGAAGGACAGACACATTGACATCGACCCACAGAGCCCGGCGCAGCCCCGCCTCCCGCGCCGCCCCGCCTCCCAGCCCGCCCCCGGCCCGGGCTGCGCCACTCCTGGGAAAACGGTGGGGGCTTGTGGAGACAGCCAGGGACCTCTGCACGCCCCGAGCGGCCATGGGCGGACCCGGAACTTCTGAAAAGAGAATTTAAATATTGCGTGTGTCTAAATGTCTGAACAGAGCGCAGGAAGGGGGTGGGGAACGTGGAAGAGGAATTTGATTCCCCCCTCTGATTTTCTCCATTGGGTTTTTCCTTGCCAGGCTGCTCCAATAGGAGTCTCTCGCTGCCGCCTCCTGCAGCTCCTCCTCCCGGCCTGGCCAATGACGCGCGGGCGGGCGGTGACTGTCGCCGAGCTTGCAGCGACAGACCTCCCGGCTCGCCGGAGCTCGCCAGCTGCTCGCCAGCCCGCGGGAGGGAGGAGAGAATTCGAACGCTTCCGCGGTTGGCTACTCAGCGTCCTGGTCTGGAGTTTCCCCATTGCGGTTGTCATTCCTAACACACACACACATAGTTTCTTTTTAATACCTCCAAAGAAACAATCATCTTCAAGCTGGCGGGAGCAATGGTTCATATAACGAAAGGCGAGCTGACCCAGGAAGAAAAGGAGCTGCTAGAAGTCATCGGGAAAGGTATGGGTGCTGGGCTGCAACGGGGCGCTGCCTGCCTGGTCTGGGGGCGTGGCGGAGCCCTGGGGGCGCCCCTGGCCGGGCTGACCCTCCACTGCGGTTGTGCGAGGTTCGTGGCCTCGCACCGGGAAATAGCGTTTCTCCCAGTGGTCTGGCACCGGTTGCGGGGGCGGAGAGGAGGGGGACGAGACGCTGGGACAAGAGCGGAGGCTGCAAGGGTTCGTCTCCCAAACCAGCTTTGGAAAGATACACATTTCCAGGTCCCAGCTTAGATTGTAATGAGCGACCTCTGAGTGTGGGTCCCATGATGCGGATTCTTCGAAACTCTCCAGGTGATTTTGACCACGGTCTGTCTTGGCGACAGTGGCCTCAGGTTCTTAGAAGGGTGTCTAAAGGGCCGTTTCGACTTCCGGAGGCCGAAAGATCTGGATCCCATAGCTGTCCCCGCCCCCGCCTGGGGGTGAAGGGAACTCCTAAGGAGAAGGGTTCTTTAGAAGAGCACAGAGCTAGGTCTGTAATTTGCTACATTGAGGGTTCTGCGTCCGGGCCTCCCCGGCTTCCTTCCAGAAGCCCCCGGCCCCCGCAGGAACCCGCAGGGAAGCGAAGAAGTAGACTAGGCGTCCACAGCCCTCGGCGCACTTAGCACAGCTTCAATCTTCTCCCGGCGCTCTTCTGCGCCTTCCCTTCCACTCTCCCAACGCCTGTCCCACTTCCGCCCCTTCGGGTGCTGGGCAGGGAGATGTAGGCCGCCGGGACGAGCCAGAAGCCATGTTTCTCCTTCAGTCCCCGAGTGGGTGTCCCAGAGGAGTTCCCTGCTGAGTCCCGTTACCTGGCAGGTGCCAAGAGCGTGACTGCGTGACTTCTGCTCAGTCGCTGCTCGGGGATGGGCGTGGGTGGGACTAAGGACAGAGTTAAGGTGGTTGGTTTACGCTCGAGAGGGAGATAACCACATCTGCCCTGCAATGGCGGAGAGGCCCGTTACCGCAGCCCAGAGGCTTCCCAGTTCCAGTCTTCTTTCTCTTAAGCAGCCAGACTCAAATCTGCATCCCCCAGAGAGTAAGGCAAATTTATTCTTCATACTGGCAAGGGAAGTCTAAATGTAAAAGAGAAAAAAAAATCGGATTTGAACCCAACAGGTGCTGATGAGCTGAGCCCGCCTCATCTGATCTCAACAATTTTCAGTCAGTCACAGCTACATTTATCATAAGTCTTTGCCGAGAACTGTGGGACATGGAGTTGATGCTTTTATTGTTTGTTCTGCACAGTTCTGGCCGACCTTTTTGGCACTGCAGTCTTTTGTTCTTCCTATCTCTGGGTCATTTCTCCCTTCCCTCAGTGGCTCTGGGATTCCATTCAGAAAACCTGTGAGCGCCCGCTGTGTGCCAGGTAGTGTGCTGGGCAAAAGGAAACAGGATCCACTCGAAATCCACCCACATTCTGCTTTTAAACAGTCCAGAGCTATCAGTTTTTCAAAGTATAAACAAGTAAGCAGTTTTATAAAGCGGGTTTCTGGAAGGGATGGGGGGGGATCCTTGGATATTTTCTTAGGTGTACACCAGTTCTTATTTTAAAGATGGTGTAAAAGAGAATTAATGTCAAGTTTAGTCTGGTTAGTGCTATGATGTTTCTGGGTCCACACTACATCAAAGTGCATTTGAGCTGAGACAACGTGGTTCACCAATTTCATTGGCCCAAGCCATGAGAAAGTAACTGAGATGGACTTAAGTCTGTGATACATTCTTGTCAAGTGAAGGTCCTTGGGACATCACTGTACTCTCAAAGAAAAATAATGGGAGATATGAGAAAATAACAACTATAGTCAGCCTTTATTGAATGTTGGTATGAGCCACATAATTCTTAGCACTTTACATGTGTTGATAACGTTTGATCTTGATGAGCTGGGAATTATTTTTAAGCAACAGCATGATGAGAGACTACATGGGGTGTTGGTTCACCATGCAGGTCTGATTTGGAATCCTACCACAATCATTTGCTGGTGATGTGGCCTTGGGCAAGTTACTGTTTCTGAGCTTCTGGTTCTCCTTGGTTAACATTGTTGGGAGGATCAAATGAGTTAGTGTCTGTAAAGCATTTAAAGTGCTATTTGTCTTGTCTGTTATTATGGTAAAGACAGTGATCTCCAATTTATAGACACAGAAACTGAGGAACTGAGAAGTTAGATAACTTGTCCAGAGTTACACAGGAAATAAGTGGCAAAGCAGAGATAGCATTTGGCCTATAGTCCTAGAAATACACTGGACTTGAAAACTAACTAAACAGGGGCACCTGGGTGGCTCAGCTGGTTAAGCATCTGCCTTTGGCTCAGGTCATGATCCCAGGGTCCTGGGATTGAGCCCTACATCGGGCTCCCTGCTCAGTGGGGAGCCTGCTTCTCCCTCTCCTGCCTGCCGCTATGCCTACTTGTGATCTCTCTCTCTCTCTGTCAAATAAATAAAATTTAAAAAAAGAAAAGAAAACTAAACAAAAAATGAAACCAGAACTATAGCAGTCCATACCATAGTCACTTCTAGAGGCATTTTAATTTCAGCGACACAGTATCATCTGTCAAGTTAAATTCATTTTAAATTCTAAATGTTATTGATTTTGTAGTTTTGTGTGCATTTAATTTGTAAAATATTTTTTGGTTTACAATGGAATAAAGGTCCTAAGCAAAGTTTATATTTATATTCATAAGAAATATTTTTAAGTGGGTGGGTAGAGTTCTTAATTCTTTTTTTTCCCCTTTAATATATTTCTCGACTTTGGGAAGTACTAGATTAGTCAGCACTAGTACTTGGAACTGACAATAAATTTTAAGCCAAGTATGACCTGTCATTTTGGCCAATCCAAAATAAACTCAGCAAATTACTGAGTATCTCTTCAGTTAGAGCCTTCAGAAGTTAAGCAGACTGTGAGTGATACTTAACCATTTAGAGAATACTACACATTGCTCCTGGACACTTTTAGAATGATTTCTTCTTCAAGTGAATTCATATGCTAGGTAGTTTATAGAGTGTATATTTCTTAGAAATGCCAAGAAGAAGTTCCAGATAAAACTGAGAAGTTCTTTCATCTATACCATTCATATCGTAGTTAATGATGGCACCCATTCAATGACATTTAAGAAGAGAAAATTGAAATCACTGAAGCACATCCAATGGGCTTATATTACATGCAGATTGACCCATTCTTCTAAGTTCTGATATCTTTTTTGTTAAGCACTGAGGAAGCACTATTTCAAAATAAATTAAACTTTCCTTAAGGGTATAAACCAGAAGATCTTCATTACTTGTTTAGTGCCTGAAATCTCTGGGATTGTGGACTTAATGAGAAAGTAATGAATTTACTACTTTTTTTTCATTATTTACATAAAAGGAATTATGAAACAGGCTTAGACAATAAGGTTTATTTAACCAACTATATTGAGGTATAAAATATGATAAATGGTGCATATTTAAGTGTATTCTAAACCTTCTATAATTTTCTACTGATGTCATTAAATTGAAGTCATCACAAGTTTTTCTTCTTTGGGTATTTTGCTCATCTATTTTCCAAAATCTGTTTGAGAAAAAAATTTTCATCTTGGTCCCTGCATTTTAAAAGGCTAACTGATATTCAGTGGTATATGTGTGCATGCCTCATCTTTATTTCCTTATTTTAAACGGCTTCCTCACAAGACAGATTTAACTTAGACTGTTGGCCATTGGGCTAAACATTTTATAGAATTATTGACCTATTCTCTCATGTGAGCCAAATGTTTATTTTTATAATCCCCACCCTCTCCCAACATGGAGCATGCTTTGACATGCTCACAGTCCCTATAGTATTCTCCCTTTCCTGTGTAAACATCTCCTGATCAGATGGAAAATCATTTCAATCGTTTCTCAGTGGATAATGGAAATCAGCCAAAGCATCTCCCTGAAGTGAAATTGGGGTGCCGGAGTTTTTGTTCTATTTTCATTCCTTTCTAAAGATGTAGGAGAAAGTCTCTGATGAGAAGGCCAGATATGGATAAGTTCCACGTAGAACTTGCTTATGCTTGAGAGCTTTCCCCCATTCATTCCGTAGCCCTTCAGCCCGTGACACTAACTGCCCTCAGATGGAGTACAGGGTCAGAAAAATGCACTATTTACAAGATAGTGCTGTCAGAATCCAGGGACTTGTAGATCATTCACTTGACACATTTCCCCAGCAGAGCTATTTCTCTGTCAATCTAGGAGACATTTCTCTGTCTGTTCCCTGTTGGTGTGAGGCAACCAGATGACTTGCCTAAGGAGCAGGTGAGGGAGAGAGAAGCATGCTAATCTTTATTCTGCATTCCACATTTAACTCTGGAAAACTAGCAGATTTTAGCATGTTCTTAAACTGTAATTTTCAGTTGAAAGAAAAAACTCCTAGTTGTGGGATGCTCCTATTCTTTTATGTCCTTGTGGAGAAGAAGCTCATCTCATCCTTTCTTCCTGAGAACGTTCAATTTCATTGTTCCTTTCCCCGTCAAATCAGAAACTTTTTGGCAGAACGAGTAGCTGACTATTATTAACGATGATAATAGCAACATTCTCTCTTGCAACTACTTGATTGTTTCAGTATGCCTTACAGAAGGCCAAAACCTGACGGTTGTGGCCCAATTATAGCTTATTTCCAAATTTACAAAGGACTAACCTTCAGGTTTATGTTCGAGGACGTTCATTATGACAGTCTGAGTACTGACCATAAGGCACTTTTCTGTGGAACCAGCCTTCAAAGAAATGTTTACCTAAGCATTTCTAAACCAAGAATTCTATTATAAGTATGCTGCCATCAATTCACAGGGTCTGGTGATGACAGAGTATAGAAATACTGACTGTACTTAGCACTCCAATTATTAGATTGACTGGAATTTAAGGTTTAGATGGTGGGTTGGACTAGATGCCCTTCAAGATTTCAGTATTAAGAGTCTTATTTATGCTTTGTGGTTATTGTATCACTGCCAAAAGGAAAATATGGCCAATTTAATATACCCTAAGGTCAGTGGAAGTAAAAACAAGATGGAGCTATTTTAGTTTCTATAAATCTGTTCTTCTCGATAATTACTTGGTGGAAAAAATACTATATATTGATGCTTTGTTTCTTAACAATCTAACCAGACTAGTTTTAGTTTTACATATAACCCTTAACATTTGTTTCCATGATGATAGATTCTTTTTTCTGTTGTAATGATAAATAACCTTATTTTGCATTTTTTTTCTTTCCTTCCTTCCTTCCTTTTTTTTCTTTTTTTTAAAGGTACTGTCCAAGAAGCCGGAACACTATTAGCTAGCAAGAATGTCCGTGTCAACTGTTTGGATGAGGTAAACTTTAAAAAGTTGAATAAAGTGCTTTACTTTTTATAAGAATGAATAATATATGAAATGTAATGGTAACAGTTTTCTAGCATTTGTGCTTAAGTTATATTAATCTCTAAACCAAATGTAAGTAGACAGGTTACAAAAGATAAATAAGCATGTAAAAACATGTTTAATTTTATTAATCAAATAAGTCCAAATTAAACCAAATCATACCATTTCTTGAGAAACATTGGACTTTTACATACTAATGGATTAGGTGTAAATTGACCTCACACACTGGAGAAAATTTTAGAATATGTGTCATTTTTAAATGTGCATACTTTTGATACAGCAATTCTAGTTCTAGGGTAAGCTAATCAAACCTAAACTCAACTTCCTAGAATAATTGCTCTTCAAAATAATTTTCTGCAATGATGGCGGTGTCTTTTCTGACCTGTCCAGTATCAGCCATTAGCCATGTGGGGCTAGTGTCTACTTTATTATACAGTGTGGCTCTAGTGCTAGAAAGTTAGATGAACATCACTTGCTCATGCAAGAGGGGAAGCGGTTTTATTGCCTCTTTACCCAGAAATGTGTACCAAAATTAATGTCAGACAAAATAAAGTTTAAAGCAAAAAAATTTAAAAAAGATGATCTCCTAGAGTAAATTAATAATTAACCCACCAAGAATATAGTAGCTTTAAGCCTTCCTTATAAGCTCATAAGCTTTGAGATTCATAAAGAAAAAGATAGAATTCAAAGGAGAAATTTGTAAGGTCACAATGATACCTTTAAGAAACCACCAGATTAAGTAGCAAAAAAGTAATATAGGGAACAGAAAATTTGGATAACTAATTGACAGTCAATGCACTGTGTGTAAAATGGAAAAAAAATAGTACATTTTCTGTACGTGGAACATTGATAAAAAATAGTCTATGTATTATACTATCTTATAAAGGAAATTTTAGCTAATTTCAAAGAAGTTCACCTAATGCAGTAGAATACACTGAAAATAAACAAAAATATGATCCAAATAACAAAACAACCTGAAAAATTTATTTTAATTCTAGGTAATTCTTGGGTTAAAGAAGGAATAGAAGTAGAAATTGTCTACTATTTAGAACTGAAAACAACATTTATCAAAAGCTAACATTTATCAAAATCTGGGTTATATGGCCAAAGTGATAGAGGAAATTTTGCAGCATTTATTATTGTACTTTCAATCTGTGGTGTTCTGAGCTTTTAACTCGAAATTTTTAAAAAAGATTAGGCTATACTCAGAGGGTAAAGGAAATGAACCAGTGAACTAAAATAGAAATAAACATTTGAAAAAGCCACGAGGTACAAACAACCAAAGAAAAAAATAAAATAAAAATTTTTATGCTTCAAGGTATACCATTAAAAAAGTGAAAAGATAATCCACAGACTGGTTTTACAAATTATATCTGATAAGGGACTTATAACTAGAAGCTATTATAAACTTCTACAACTCAATAATAAAAAAGACAACCCTATTATAAAATGGGCAAAGGATCTGAATAGATACTGCTCCAAAAAGATATTCAAATGACCAATATGCACATGAAAAAATGCTTGATATTAGTTGCCAGGGAACTGCAGTGAGATACCACTTCATACCCCTGGGATGGCTATAAAAAAAATGAAAGTGAAATGCAAATGAAAAAATGCTCAATATTAGCTGCCATCAAAACTGTGGTGAGATGGGGCGCCTGGGTGGCTCAGTTGTTAAGCGTCTGCCTTTGGCTCAGGTCATGATCCCAGGGTCCTGGGATTGAGCCCCACATCGGGCTCCCTGCTCAGCGGGGAGTTTGCTTCTCCCTCTCCCACTCCCCTGCTTGTGCTCGCTCGCGCTCTCTCTCTCTCTCTCTTGCTGTCTCTCTCTGTCAAATAAATAAATAAAATCTTAAAAAAAAACAAACAAACTGTAGTGAGATACCACTTCATACCCACTGGGATGGCTATAATAAAAGAAATAATAACAAGTATTGGTGAGGATGTGGAGAAATCAGAGCCCTCATTAATTGGTGGGTGAATGATGCAGCCACTCCGGAAAACAGGTTGTCAGTTCCTCCACTGGTTAAACATAGAGTTTTTCTATATGACCCAGTAATCCTAGGTATATACCTAGGAAAAGTAAAGCATATATCAACACAAAAGCTTGCTCATGAGTGTTTATAGCAGCATTATTCTCACTAGCCAAAGTTGGAAACAACCCAAATATCCATTAACTGATGAGTGGATAAACAAAATGTAGTATATCCAGACAGTGGAATATTCATTCATAAAAAAGAATGAAGTCCTGGCAAGTGCTATAACATGGTTGAATCTTGAAAATATTTGCCAAGTGAAAGAAGCCAGTCACAAAAGACTAAATATTATATGATTTTATTTATAGGAGATGTCCAAAATAGGCAAATCTATAGGGACAGAAAGTAGATTAGTGGTTGCCTAAGGCTGGGTCAGAGAGTAGGGGGCCAGGGAGGAAATAGGAATGACTGATAATAGGTATGCAGTTTCTTGAGGGGGTAACAAAAATATTCTAATTGATTGTGGTGATACTCATATAACTTCTGCAAATATACTGAAAACTATTTAATTGTGTGTATTAAATGGGTGAATTGTATGGTATGTGAATTATATATCTCAATAATTTAAAAATGAAAGAAAAAACAAAGGTATCAAGACCAAAATATTAGACACAGTTTGAAAAGTCTAAGCAAGAAAATAATGAAATAAACACCAAGAAACTAAGAGAGCATGACTGCAGTTATAAAGGAAATTTTCATAAGTTTTTGTTTAAGCCAATACATATGAAAACCTATATAAAAGTAACTTCATAGAAAAATAAAAATGAATATATTCATCTCATATAGAATATGAGATTCCAGAAAACTGGAATAATTAAGGAACATTTGTGTAAATGTATTTAAATGCCAACCACTTTATAAAGCTGCAAACCTGAGTAAGCGTTACAAAACCTTCAAGGACTTCTCATTTTACACAGATTATACTGTTAGTTCATAAAAAGGCAGGAAGATACGCAACTCATTTGATAAGACTAGCATAACACTGATGCCAAAACAGGAAAAAGCCAAAGAAAACCTTGGGCCCAGTTCAGTTTATAACTCAGATGCAAAAACACTAAGTAAGATACTAGCAAATTGATCCAGTAGTATATCAAAAGAATAATTAGACATAAATAACCCAGTAAGGTTTCTCCAAAAATGATAGGATGGTTTAGTTTTAGAAAATCTTTCAATATAGGGCGCCTGGGTGGCTCAGTTGGTTGGGCAACTGCCTTCGGCTCAAGTCATGATCCTGGAGTCCCAGGATTGAGTCCCAGGATCAAGTCCCAAGATCGAGTCCCAGGATCGAGTCCCTCATTGGGCTCCCTGCTCAGCGGGGAGTCTGCTTCTCCCTCTGACCCTCCTACCTCTCATGTGCTCGCTCTCTCTCTCATTCTCTCTCTCAAATAAATAAATGGAATCTTTGCAAAAAAAAAAAAAATCTTTCAATATAATCTATTATATTACAGAATAAAAGAGAAGCAAATGTGATCATCTCAACAGATGATGAGATTCAGCATCCCTGGATGGTAAAAGCTCTTAACAGATTAGGATACAATAGGTTTTTTTTTTTTTTCCCTTTGGTAACTTGATAAAAGATAAAAGGTTTGTGGAAACCTTCCACAAACAATAGCATCCTATTTAATGTTAAAACATTAGACACACTCTAATGTTAAGACCTTAGAAGAATGAGGATCAAGACAGGAGATTCCTGGAGATGCTGGGGACAGATTTGGCTTCCTTGATATTGTTTGAAGGCAATACTCCTCTCCCGGAGAGTTTCCCACTTGCATTCTCTTTACCTGGAGGATTCTTCCACCGGTTATTTAAATCCTTTGTGTCTTCAGTCCCTTTAGGAAAGGATTTGTTCAAATGCCACCTGCCTAGAGGGACATTTCTTAACTGCCCTTTTTCAAATAATAATCTCCTCTTGCTCTCTGGCATTGTTTCCCTCTTATCGATGTTCTTTTCCTAGAGCACTTGTATCACCGCCTGCCTTGTTACCTCAACTAAAATTTAAATGTCAGCGACCCATACTGGAGGGGAATGGAATTAGTTCGTTGCTACCCACAGCGCACAAACCTGTGTCAGACATATATTAGGTAATCGATAAATATTTGCTGAATGAATGAATGCTTTAGGTAATGATCCAGAATTGTAACATAATAGGCTAATATTGATAAATTCTTTCATTTAAGAATTATGGGAGAGAAGCTTCAGTTCTTTTTAGGGTCATTAATATCTAAAGAATTTTAGCTGCTTGTTTTTCATGCAGTTAAGCAGACTTCTTCCAAAATTGCCTTTGGGAAATGACAAGGAAGTGAGGATTTTTACTCTTGGCGTTTCAGTGATTCTAAGATGCCATGGATTTTAAGACTCATCCAGATTTCAGAGATATTAAAAAAATGAAGGGAGTGGAGATTGGTGATAATTTGTAAGATTCTAGTATTTGTGAAATAAGACTCAATTTCAGAGATCTTAAAATATGAAAATAAAGTGATTCTTATAACTGATGGATTACAGGGGCGCCTGGGTGGCTCAGTCATAAAGCGTCTGCCTTCAGCTCAGGTCATCACTGGGATCGAGCCCCGCAGCAGGCTCCCTGCTCAGCAGGAAGTCTGCTTCTCCCTCTCCCACTCCCCCTACTTGTGTTCCCTCTCTTGCTGTCTCTCTCTGTCAAATAAATAAAATCTTAAAAAAAAAAAAAAAAACTGGTGGATTACATATAACATTATGATAACATTTTATGAAACCTTATTTTTCTTTTCTAATTTGAGCAGGGATGGACATTAGGTATTTTATTTTTCTAACTGATACTAACTTGTTCCATTTTTATAACTAGAACAAGACATTTTCAGTTTATTTTGAACATGGGAATATTCTATGTCTAGTAGATTGATAGTATTTTAAATTATTCAATTCCTTTTCTTGATATTTATACTGGAATATATAAAAATACTAGAAAGACTAGAAAATTTGTAGGATGGTAGCTTTATATCTGTTTGGAACATTAAGATTTATTAATGTCACTTCCTTTTTTTCTTTGCCCATTGAAATGTTTCCACAAATAACAGGCAGTACTGTAACTAAGATAATGCATAGTAAAAATTACATTCAAAATTTGTAATTCTTTTTGTTCTTATAATCCAAAATTGAACTAAAATAAGAAAGTATATGTGATATTTCCCATATAGCTTGGATTTCCCCTTAGCTTGGAAAGTTTCTATACATTTCATAATATATACAAATATCAAATCATTATGTTGTATACCTGAAATTGATATAATGTTGTATGTCATTTTTACCTCAGTAATAAAAAGAAAAGAAAAGCTTACTATAAATTATCACTTAACACATGTTTGGCTTCTATTACCCAGAATCAACCAGCCCAGCACTGAAACTTGATATGGGAAAAACATACACTGCATTATAGACATGACAAAGATAACAATTTTAGAGATTGCATAGCAAATGTTACGATTGGGTTTGCTCCTTGCCTCTTTAAAAAGCTCTCATGGATTGGCTCTGAAAAACCAATCCCTATTTAGACTGCTGGTAAGTAAGAAAGAGCAAAGAGAAAGAAAGGAAATTTAAAAAAAGAGAAAAAAGAGGAAACAGGATCAGGAAGCAGGGAGGCAGACAGGTAAATGGACATAAGTGATCAACACAGAGGACAGTTAAAACACAAGCAGACGTAAACAGGTGAGGACACTTTGCAACATAACCTCCAAAAATTTTGCACATCTCCTTCATTCTTAAGCATCTTTTCTCATTGTATTGAATGCTGCTCTAGATTTATTTACATATAGGACAGTATTATAGTGTCAGGCTTCTTCACTCAGAGCTAGATAACCTTTCCTTGTAGGATGGGACTGCTGTGTGATTGACTGCCCACCTGCCTATACTGTGTCCTGCCCCCACCCCCCTGGCTGCATGCTAGCTTCTTACGTCCAGGTTATAGCATCCTTTGGGGGCCATCACCCTAGTCATGCTCTGAATACATTTTTGCCTCATTCAAAAGGTAATAACCATATTGTTAATTTCCATTTCCTCAAAGCTGCGTCTGTGTAGTGAGATCCTGATTGCCATACCCACCCAAGCCACTCCCAACCTTGAAATACCTCATCCTTGTAGAGCATGGTACTTGCCCATCCAGTCCTTGGGGAAAACAGTGGAAAAGAACATTTGAATCTGGGACACCTGGGTGGCTCAGTCAGTTAAGCATCTGACTTCAGCTCAGGTCATGATCCCAGGGTCCTGGGATCGAGCCCCACATTGAGCTCCCTACTCGGCAGAGAGCCTGCTTCTCCCTCTGCCTCTGTCATTCCCCTGCTTGTGTTCTCTCTTGCTCTCTCTCTCTCTCTGACAAATAAATAAATAAAATCTTAAAAAAAAAGAATATTGATGGCTTATGTTCATAATAATAGTGTGGAATCATAACAATTCAAAGTATTTTAGTATTCCGAAGTTTACCGCAGTAAAAGATTTTATGTTTTAGAGAGGTTTTTATCAAAAACAGCTTTGAAATGCCAGCATTTATATAGTTTGTCCTGGTTTACTTTGAAAATTCACTTATCTAGAACAGCTTGTTCATTTATCTACCAAATAGTATCAGATACCCAGAACAAATAAGGTTGGATGTTTCACTGGATCTGTACAAAACATATGGAGACTAAACAATGTAGTGTAAATACTACCAACCATTTCTTGATATTTATAGTCATTTATATGGTCAAATCATATATGTAATGAAAATATACATGTGGTTTGAGGATCATTATTTTAAAAATGATATGATAATATACATTTCCTGCATCTTGTTTTTCTCATCGGCGGTAATGCGTGGACATTTCTCCAGTTCACTAGATATAGATGCATTCAGTCAGTAGCTTCATCGTATTCCATGTTGTGGATATAACATACTTCATTCATACTTTCTCTTTGACAGGCATTCTAATTGCTTTGAGTTTTTTTTTTTTTTTTAATATTTATGCATTTGTATCTGTTGGTTCATTTGTTTTCCCAGGAGCTATGTGTGGTAGAGATGAGAGCCCCCATGATCTAGGTTTGGTGCCTGCCTGGCCATTTTACTGGTTATGTGAGGTTGAGCAAGTATCCTCTGAATCTGTTTGCTAACCTATAATAAAAAAAAAAATCAGGTAACAAAACTATCGTTTTTCCTCAGCAGTGTATGGAAGATCCAAGTGAGGAAATCAACATAAAAGTACTTTACAGATTATAAAGATGAATTTAGTAATTCATGTTTCTTTTCTGTTTTTAAATTATTTGCAGGAATTGTTCACAGGGGAAAAGGTAAATAAGTAAAACTAATACTTTTTTCCTTTCTATTAAAGAATGGAATGACTCCTCTAATGCATGCTGCCTATAAAGGAAAACTTGATATGTGCAAATTACTTTTACGACATGGAGCTGATGTAAATTGTCATCAACACGAGCATGGGTACACAGCCCTCATGTTTGCTGCACTTTCTGGTGAAGTTTTAGCATTTATTCTAATATATTAATATTAATCATCCATACATATTTGGTATAAGTACATACATACTTTTAAATTAAATTAAATGCTTTTTTATTACAGTTCTGTTGATGTACTGTATCTTTGTGTTTTGAAGTAATCTGAAAACATCTTTGTTGTTGTCTTGAGAAAGCAGCTGGTGTGATAGAGCTGTTTCTCTGCTTCCCTGACATTTATGTACTAAATTATGCTGATCCAATTAGAGACTTAACTTTTATTCATGTTGCTTATGATTTGTGAATGAAGACAACTGGGAAACATTTAAAATTAAGTGGAGTTATCTATAATTGTAGTTTTTTTTTAAGAAAATAAAGATGTGATATAATATTCTCACACTTTAAAAGGAGTAATCTGTATTTTTATAAGCCTGGAACAGGAAAGCATGGGGGGGGCAGGGGGCATAGATGGGCTAGATGGGTAATGGGTATTAATGAGGGCACTTGTTGTAATGAGGAACATTACATAAGAGTGGTGTTGTATATAAGAGATGAATCACCGAATTCTGCACCTGAAACTAACATTGTACTATATGTCAACTAGCTGGAATTTAAATAAAAACTTGGGAAATAAAAGGAAAGCATTTCTAAATATGATATATGAAATACATAATTCAAAAAGGATAACATTGACCAATTTGATTATATATAATTTTAACATTTCTAAATATAGAATATACCATATATGGAGTAAAATACAAATGAAAAACTAAGGAAAATATTTATTACATATCTTTAAGGGTCATATCAGTATATATCAGGAGTTCTCATAAATCATTTAGAAACAAGTGCTGCAATAGAAAATTGGACCGAAATTGAACAGAAAACGAAAGAAATACAGCTGGCTCATAAGGATATAAAACACTTTCACCAATAAACAAAGAAAGGCACATTAGAAGAATAAACAATCATTTGTCACCTACCGTATTGGCAGAGGTTGAGAAAGAGTGATAATGTCCAGCATTGGCGTAGGGACTTCTCTGCACCATTTTGGGATATGCACATCAGCACAATCTCGCTGGAAGTCAGCCTGGCAAAATACATTTAAAATATGCATAACTTTGATTTCTGCAGTGTTTTCCAGGAACTGTTCCTAAGGAAATGATAGTTTGAACTTGCTAAAATTAATAGAAAAAGCTGGTCACTGAGTATAGTTTATAATAGCAAAATATCTGTAATGATTACATTAGTGATAGGATGCAAATAGAATAAAGGCAAATGGATGTTTCGAAAGAAAAGAGTGTAGAAACAGAGACGATTGCCTGTTAAATCATTATCCCAGGACCTATAGGTGTGAGGGTTGGGATGGGTTAGTAGATACTAAGTGGAGACTTCTTTTCATTTTCTCTCTCTTTATTGTTGCTATTTTTCATTTTGACTTTATACTAAACATTATCTGTAAGAAAAATTTGTTTTGTTAAAAAAAAAAAGTGATAATTCCATACCATTTGTGTATTGCCTGGAGGGGTTTTACAAAAAAATGAGGTTAATTTCTGTGTGGATTTTTGGTATCATTTTCCTCTTACTGTGGTTATGATTTACATTTTAGAAAAAAAATGTTCACAAGATAGAAACCTAAAACTAAATGGGGAAAAAGCGTCCAGATAAATTAGGAGGTATTTGAATTGTGCATTCCTTAGTATGAACTGACATGTTCCTTTTTAACGTCAGGTAACAAAGACATCACATGGGTAATGTTGGAGGCCGGTGCCGAGACAGATGTTGTCAACTCTGTAGGAAGAACAGCAGCTCAGATGGCAGCCTTTGTGGGTGAGTTTTTATGGCAGCTTTAAAATTTAAGTTTTATCCAAAATGTCCTCCATGAAAAAATATCACTTTGCTTCTCAGAGTACAAATACTGTCATGTTTATTTTTTAAAAAAGCAAAATATTTACAGTTTGCTAGGTTTTGTCTGACTTAGCGAACTATCCAGTGACACTTTGGAGAAATGAGGAGGTTATTTGGAATTTCCACTTTGTGAGATACCAAGAATAGTGGGGCCATTTTGGTTGTAGTTAAATGCTTTGAATGAGTATATTTTATTTCTCTGAGGGAAGTAGTTTAACCTAAAGTCAAGAACATGAACTGTGACGTCAGTAATCCTCACTTGAAATTCTGGCTGTGCCACTCAATACCAGGTTACTTAATCATTCTGACCTTCACTTTCCTCATTGTAACTTGGTTCATGGTTCCTGAAAGGATTAAATGAGATATTGACCTAAGGAGCTTTACAGGTAGCACTAAATAAATGCCATCAGTTACTGTTGCTAATAAAAAATGTCAACAATGCAATTTTTTCCTAGAAAGGAACATTAATAATAATATAATATATAGCTGCTTCATTATCATCCTCCTCAAGTACAAACATTTATGGTGTATGCCCAGTATTTCTTGGTATATTCATCCTGTTCCTGGACATAATATGAGGGGTTTGGAAGAGAATGGCGTGAATATTTGGTCGTTGGTATTTTGGTCCCACTGAGTTGGCAGTTAAGGAGAGTCTAGAGATGGACAAGCAGATATGTAAACATCTGATTTATTGGGAATGCAGCAAGTGGCCTTTGTGGGACTAATAAATCATTAAACAAATACTTAATGTTCACAGTGTTTATACCAAGCATCCTTCTAGGTGCTTTGGTTACAGTGCTGAACGAGACAGAGGCTATCCACGTATTCATGGCAGTTAGAGACTAACAGCAGTGACAGGCATTGTGGAAATATACTCCAAGGGACAACTTAAGGGTTTCATAGAAATATATCATAGAGAGGGATCTTTTATCCTATTCCAAGGGGGTTTCGAGAGAAAGTACATTTAAGTTGAAATATAGTGGGAATTAGTCTGATATAGGAGGCAGTAATTTTGTTATTAAATTATCTCAAAACTACTAATAGTAGCTACCAGTGATCAAGTCAGATAGTCAGTGAGTCACTCTGTGACAGCTCTGTCAGAACAAATATTCTTATTCTACCTCGATTTCAGGAGGATTTGAGAAAAGTATGGCCTTGCAGTGCAAACGTCAGAGAAATAAAATTTATCTCCTACCGTTAGGGGCTCCCTGGTTGCCCCCAACTCACCTCTAAGCCAGTGTCGAGGCTGTCAGTACAAGGGGAAAATAAGACTAATCTAGGAATCTTGATTCTCATATTTTAGTTCGTGTCTGCAGCTAAGTCATTACAAGATCACAGGCAAATCCCTTCCCTCACAGGCCTCCTGTTTTCTGATCTGTGCCATGAGGCCTGGCAATTTGATCATAGGAAGTTCTCCTGAACTCTGCAAGTTTTCATTTATGTCCACGATGTAGCAAAACAGAGCCTAGACAGAGATTCGGTAACTTTCCTCAGTTCACAGGGCTGGAAGTTGAGGAGCCTGTTCTTTCAAATACAATACAGTGTTCTTTTCCTTTTCTTTTTCTTAACACGACAGTATCCATAAAAATCTAAGGTAGAAATTGTCCACAATCCCATCCTATAATAAGAGAAATAAAAGTGATGTTTTCATTCCATTTTAATCTATATAGATTAATTTCATAGACAAAGATTAAACCCTTTTGGTCGACGTTATATTTTCCATTATGGGTTAGTCTTTTCGAAAAGTCATTGTCCCCTTTTATTGCCCACAAGCGGAAAGGTTTATAAAAATACGTGCACACGTGTGCAAGATTCTTCTCTTTTAAAAAAGATTTTTATCTTTTAAAAAATATTTATCATACAGATATATTCCTTGTGACTTGTTTCCTTCCCTGACCAGTGTGCTGTGGAAGTCCCTCTCATCTCAGCAGGTCTAAATTCAGTTGTTCCAACAGCTACCTAATATTCCATGATACAGGTACCCACGGTTTATTTAGCTCTCCCCTAAGGATAAATTTTACAGTGTTTTTTTTTTTAATGATTTTATTTATTTCTTTATTTCAGAGAGAGAGCACGTATGAGCGGGGGAGGGGGTGGTAAAGGAGCAGAGGGAGAGGGACAGACAGACTCCGTGCGGAACACAGAGCCTGATGCAGGGCTCAGTCCCATGACGGTAGCCTGAGCTGAAATCAAGAGCTGGATGCCCAACTGACTGAGCCACCCACGTGCCCCAATGGCACGATTTTTAAAAATCACTATAAATAATGTAATAATTATCCTCGAGCTTATATTTTTACATAGTACTGCTTTAATACGTGTAAAACATACTCTTAGAAGTAAAATGGCTGAGACACAGGGTCTGTATTTTTAATTTTAGTGTAAGTCTAGATTGCTTTCCAAAAGGGCATAGCAATTCATACTCCTGTGAGCATCTTCATCAGAACTGGGTGTTTTCAATCTTTCATTTTTGATAGTTGAAAAGATGGTGTATTGTGAATTTGCTTTCCCCCCATTATTCATGAAATTCAGCTGCTTCTGTTGTTGGTCATCTATGTTTTTCTCTTCTATGGATGGCTGTTCATACTCATTACATATTTTTCCTTTGGGTTGTCTTTTTTCTTAATTGCTTTGAGGAGCTTTTTTTTTTTTTAAGATTTTATTTATTTATTTGACAGAGAGAGAGAGACACACAGTGAGAGACGGAACACAAGCAGGGGGAGTGGGAGAGGGAGAAGCAGGCTTCCCGCTGAGCAGGGAGCCCGATGTGGGGCTCGATCCCAGGATCCCGGGATCATGACCTGAGCCGAAGGCAGATGCTTAACGACTGAGTCACCCAGGTGCCCCGAGGAGCTTTATTTGTATTATGGATGCTGATCCTTTGTCTATCAAATGTGTTTCAAATAGTTCATTATATATTTTTGTTTTGACTTCATAGGAACTTTTGCCATAGAGAATTTATTTTTAAATAATCCTAGTTTTCTTTTATATTTTCCATGGTTCTTGTCTTGTCAAAAGAATTCTTGAGCATGGATTAGATAAGTATTCTCCTAAATTTCCTTCAGAATTTTTTTTTTTTTTTTTGTATTTTCAAGATTTGATTTCTTAGAGTTCATTTTCCCCTGGATATTTAGTTAATTGTGATAGCACCACTTACGAAACCACTCAGCACTTTCCTGCTGAAAGTGAAATACCACTTTTGTGTTAAGTTAAATTCTGTTAAATACTGCTCTCTATTTCTGGATCTCATATTCTCTTCCATGCGGCTGCTTGTCATTTTCTATATTAATACCACATTGTCTGATCACATTGACTTTAAAGCAAGTGTCCCCTTCAGTTATTCCTCTTTTAATGCATTCCTCCCTCCCTTTTTTTTTTATTGTTTTTTGTTTTTTATTTTTGGTTCTTGTTGGACTTTCATTAAGTGGTTTTGTAATTATTTGCAGTTATTGGCAACTGTATGATATGACATCCTATTCAATTGCATGGTATGCCTAAATATTGCTTTTTTGTTTCTTTTGCTTGTTTTTGGTCCTTTGGTCATACTCACTAGATTCCCTCACAGCAGGTCTTTTTTTTAAATAAAACTACATTCTTTTCGGGCGCCTGGGTGGCTCAGTTGGTTAAGCGACTGCCTTCGGCTCAGGTCATGATCCTGGAGTCCCGGGATCGAGTCCCGCATCGGGCTTCCTGCTCGGCGGGGAGTCTGCTTCTCCCTCTCCCGCTCCCCGTTCTTGTGCTCTCTCTCTCTCTCAAATAAATAAATAAAATCTTTTTAAAAAAAACTATATTCTTTTCAAGTTTATTTCTAAATAGTTGGTAGTTATTACCCATATTGTAAGGAGAATTCCCACCACCACTTGCACACTCTGTCATTTCTAGCTGGTTATGGGTAATAAGGAGAAAGCTATTGATTTGTTTTTTTCTTTGTCATTTTTATCCTCGGTTTCATAGCTATTCAGTTTCATTTATTTTCTATTTGAATTAGCTCCAGGCTTCAAAGTAAGAAGAAATAATAATAGTGAAAATTGGCATGTCTGTTTTTTTCTATTTTTAATGGAAATATTTTTAGCTCTTCACTTTTTATGATATTGCTTTTGGTTTTACCATTGCTGAATGCCACTCTTTGTCTTGTTTCAGTTTTTAGTTCTACTTTTTTTCTGATAGGCCATTTTTTTTTTTTTAGATTTTATTTAAATTCAAGTTAGTTAACATATAGCGTATTATTAGCTTCAGGGGTACAATTTAGTGATCATCAGTTGCATGTAACACCCAGTGCTCATCACCTCAAGTGCCCTCCTTAATGCCCATCCCCCAGTTACCCCATCCTCCACCGCCACCCCTCCAGCAACCCTCAGTTTATTCCCTATAGTTAAGAGTCTCTTACGGTTTGCCTTCCTCTCTCTTTTTATCTTATTTTATTTTTCCTTCCCTTCTGCTGTGTTCATCAGTTTTGTTTCTTCCACATATGAGTGAAATCATGATATTTGTCTTTCTCAGACTGGCTTATTTTGCTTAGCATTAATGCTCTCTACTTCCATCCAGGTCGTTGCAAATGGCAAGATTTCATTCTTTTTGGTGGCTGAGTAATATGCCATTGTGTGTGTACACACACACACACACACACACACACACACCCCACCTGTTCTTTATCCATTCATCAGTCCATGGACATCTGGGTTCTTTCCATATTTTGGCTATTATGGACATTGCTGCTATAAACATTGGGGTGCATGTGCCTGTCTGAATCACTATTTTTGTATCTGTTGGATAAATACCCTAGTAGTGTAATTGCTGTTGGTAGGACAGTTCTATTTTTACTTTTTGAGGACCCTCCATACTATTTTCCAGAGTGGCTGCACCAGGTTGCATATTATAGCCATTCTTGATTCCTTTTTGGGTTTTTGCATTTGTCAATAATCTCTTTGCCCATTTCTTTGTTTTCAATCTTTATTATTTCATTTTAGTAGGGTAACTACTACTACTACACCTATATGTCTATAAACCCATGTAGGTGTGCTCTGTTCTCTAACCCAAATGATAGTCTCTGGCTTTTAACAGGTACTCAGCTTGTACATATATATGATTACTGATAAACTTGATTGCATTCCTCCTCTTTCACCTCATTTTTTTATGCTTTGTTTTACTTGGTGGTTGTTTTTGCTTGTGCTTGGGTGTAGTGTGTGTGTGTGTGTGTGTTTGTGTGTGTGTGTGCGTTTCCTTAATGTGCTTGGCCTGGTCATGTTAGAGTACATTTATTTCTTTTATTAACTTGAAAGATCGAGAATGTTTTCCCATTCCACTAATGCTTACTCTCCTATTCACAACACTCTCAGTTAAACCCGTATTTGTCAGTTAATTAAAAGCAAGAACAAAACTATCCCCCATGGTCCACCCCCATTTAGCAGTTTCAACGTGAGGAAATCCTTCCAACTCATTTATTTTTCCACGTTCTCTTTTTTTGCCTCATCAGACAACACACTTTTCCTTTCCTCCTCCACCACTGCCACCAGCTGTGGACTTGGCTGAGAGGGTTTAGTATTTTTAGTACCAAAATGTTACTTGAATGTCATCCATCATGGGTTACTTCTCTTTGACTAATCCTCACAGTCAACAAGACAATTCCTCAGTCAAGTTGCCTCCACCCATTATTCAGATTAACCATCTCTGCTGCCAAGGGTTGGTGTCCATGCCCCTCTCCTTCTCCCTTGCCCCACCTTCAGTTGTCTGTTCCCATTTAGGTTTGGGTTACGGGACCTTCTTGCATGGTTTATAGGTTGAATATGGTTTGAAACCCATCGTAACCAAGATTCTGTTTCTCTCTGAAATGTGAGTCGTACCAGGGCTAGTTTCACAGTCCTTGTATCACTGTTCTTTTCCCTCAGTCGTATGTAGAAGTTACTTCACACTTTTCTAAATGCTTGGAAATGAGAATTTATTTTCCTTTATAAACTTTCCATATCTCATTCTGGAAGTGTGTTTCAATTTCAGTTTATCCTAAGAAATAAAAAGTTGTACTAAGATGTGTTTCGTTGTGTATGTGCGTGTTTTTGGTTATCCTGCCTAGGACTGACTCAGTGAGCCCATTCAGTCAGGAAGACTCAAGTCTAGCGATGGTAATCCTGGCCCCGGATGCACTGCCCACCCACCCTTGCCCAGCATTTATTTTCTATAATAGTAGTATTATTTTATTTGTATTTTATTCAGAATTCATTAATTAAATTAAACATCAGTAAAACTAAATGTTTAATTGTTTCAGTTATAAACATTTAAATATAAATTAAGTAAAAGTTTAGGAACTTTAAATATATATCAGTCTAATAGAAATTATTAGCAGGTCGCCTGGGTGGCTTAGTTGGTTAAGCGACTGCCTTCAGCTCAGGTCATGATCCTGGAGTCCCGGGATCGAGTCCCACATTGGGATCCCTGCTCGGCTGGGAGTCTGCTTCTCCCTCTGACCCTCTTCCCTCTCGTGCTCTCTATCTCTCATTCTCTCTCTGTCAAATAAATAAATAAAATCTTAAAAAAAAAAGAAAAATTATTAGCAGATCAGTTAAAATAAAATATCAAAATAATCTAAGCGCTATCTAAAATATAAAAAATGTAAAAATGTAAAAAAGATTAACCCTGAAATAAAGTAAAAGTAAAGTAATATTATGTTGTCCTTTTTACAAAGATGTAATCTTAAGAGACCTCAACTCCTGTGATAGTGTCATTGTTATGGAGCTGGTATTTTTATGTACAAATATTGCCAACTGCTCAGAGGGATTTTCCTGACTGTATTAGTGGAGAGATTGATGAGAAAATAGAGTAACAAGCTAATTCCATGTTTCCCTCAACTCCTTTATCTTCAGCTCATTCTCTGTCGATTTTGATTTTTTGTAGGAGCTATATTATTTTTAATTTAATTTTATTTAGGTTCAATTAACTAACATATAGTGTATTATTAGTTTCAGAGGTAGAGTTCAGTGATTCATCAGTTGCATACAACACCCAGTGCTCATTACATCACGTGCCCTCCTTAATGCCCATCACCCAGTTACCCTACCCTCCACCCCCCCTTGTAGGAGCTATTTTAGAATATATACATTTTTTTATTAAATAGCATCACACATCTATTTATTGAAGCTGGACGTAGATTGTGTTTTAAGGAAACAGTGTAGTTTGTCTTCATCTCTGGTTCCTTCCTGCACCGTTGTAAATTCCCACACACAGTGACCTGTGTCAGTTTTGATGCCATCATATTCATGTCCTGCTTGTAGTAGGGGATTTGCTTCATTGTTGTTGCCTTTCCCTTCATGAACGTTATGGAGGTAGAGATGATCTTTTGCTAAACAGAGCACTTCATATCTTTAATGAATGCTATTATTGTTTGGCTTCTCCTCAAGATACCTATATCAGAGCTTTCTGGTTAAAAAAAAAAAAAAAGGAAAGGCAAAAAGGAAAAACAAAACAAGACAAAACCCTGGTGTTTCAGTACTTAAGAACAGCATTAAATACCAAAAATGAGATTGTGATCACTACTAAAATTTCCCTTCAAATCAGGGACGTGTTCTTCTTCTATCATTTGTTTAGTTATTCTCCATCCATTTCTCTTTTCCTTTCAGGGAGTTCTACTATTTTTCACCTTTACATTTCCTGGATCTGCCCTTCAGCTCTCATCTCTTCCATAATGATTTCCACTTCCTCATTTTTCTCTGTTTTTAGATATTTCATCCACTTCGTCTTCTACATTACTATTTTAGTCCTCAGTTGTTAACTGGATTCCCTCTTTCAGTTTATCTGTTAATTTTATTTTAATTTTTACTTTTTTTGTCTATTAATTTTAGAATTTTGAATCTTTCTGCAGTCCACGAAACTTTACATTTTGTAATTGATCTACTTAATTTAAGTGTTCTTGTTTGGTGATTATGGTTATGGTTTGGTTGTGGTTGTGGTCCATGTTGTAAGTATACTTCCCACCAAAGAAGCCATCTGTTGGGGGCAGTGCATAAGTCTTCCATGGTGCTAGATCCCCTTGGGTACTTCACTCCTTATCTCCTAGGCAGCTGGGTCAAGCTGACAGGGGTTATGGAGCAGTGAGGGGAAGGGCCACAGTCTCTATACCTGTGGGTATAGAACTCCAAGAACTGCCAGGCAAGCAGAGCCCTCTGCCAGCCTCAGGTACCAGAGTCCACCCTACCCATGGTGCAGTCACTTTGTCAGCAGGATCGAGCAGATGCTCCCAGGACCATGCACAAGTGGACTGGGGCCACATGGGCCAGCCAGGGCAGACCACTCTCTGGGAGCCCCTATGCCTGGTCTCAGAACTCTCTGCTGCTGGTCCCTCTGCCTTCTGGATAGAGATCCCAAAAGAGCCTGCACCTGCCAATGTGCCCTGCAGGTTCTGCCTGTTTGCCCAGAGCGGCCACTTCCCTGCCCCAGAGAGTTAGTGGTGAGGGAGCTGGGAAGGAGGAGGTGATAGGAACATGTGTTCAGGTCACCAACTTCTCCAGGGACAGTTTTGCTTTCCTAGAACCAGTTTTACCTCTGGAGATGTCTTAGACAAGTGGCATAGGGAGCTATAAGAAGCCGTAATGTGAATTCCGAGCTTATGCCAGCAAAAGCTTTTTCTCTAATTCATTTCACAAAGAGGCCAAGCTTTTCTCAAATTCAAGGGGAGGGGAGATTAGTGTAATAATAATAATAATAATAAGCTTTATATAGAATAAATTTATATTCTGTGTAAAGAAAGCCAGCTGTGATTTAGGGAAGAATGACCATCATTTCTGTAGGGCTGGAAGAAGAGACATTTAAATTTAATTAAGAACAATCAATTTCTATCAAATATTTAGGGTTAGTTACAAATTGAACTCCCATTTTTTTGTAATCCACATAATCTTCATATGTACTGTAGATTCTGTGTCTTTCAAAGGGGATTATGTTTTGGACTTCACAAAGCATGCTTATAAATGTTCCTCAAAACATGGTACCTCTCCTTGTCCCCTTCTACTCTTCCTGAAAATTAAAGAAGTTGATTCATGTTTACTTCATAAGGACACAGCAACATAATTAATAAAAAATTGGAAAATGTATTTTGAATAATACAATAACAAATTTCCTGTTTTTCTATTAAAAGGTCAACATGATTGTGTGACTGTCATCAACAATTTCTTTCCTCGTGAGAGACTGGATTATTACACTAAACCCCAGGGGCTGGATAAAGAGCCAAAACTGCCTCCCAAGTTGGCGGGCCCACTGCACAAAATTATTACCACAACCAATCTTCATCCTGTCAAGGTAGTGTCGTGTTTATGATCTTTGCTTTTTACTTAAATATTCCTTCAGAGTTTAAACTGCTCTTAATTATATAAGATCGTAGTTGTCTTGGTTGGGTTCTGTGGATACAGAGCTTGAGATATGGGGCTCTGTTGTTCAGTCGGCACAGTGAAGGACTGCTCTCGGTTTAAGCCTGAGAGAGAGTGAGAGACGCAGTCTAGACTAGGAGGAAGAGCTAGGCAAAGAGATGGGTTCAGCTGAAGCCCGCCTTCCACCTCACCTCACTGGGAGCTCTGGACTGTCCGTGGCTCCAGGGAAGCAAGGGAGCCAGGCTTTTGGATCACTCAGTTGCCATTGGCTGAAGCCTGGCTTCCAGGTAGTGCTCAGGAAGGTGGCTTCTGATAGATGAAGGCAGTTCCTTAGTGTGGGAGGCAGCTCTGAGCCCCTAGCAGCCAACACTCCCAGAAGCTGGGACCAGGTACCTAGGCTGGTAAGGGGATTTGGGTGGGGAATCAGCAGCATCTACTACAATATTTATCCTTCCAGGAAATGGTCTGAAATGTGATCACGAGCACATACTTTAATTCAAGTAGCTATTTGATGCCTTTAAGTGTTATAGTTCTTGCAGTATTAGTCAAATCACACAGATTTTCAAACTTTTTAGACCAACCCAGAAGTTCATTTGGCTTAATGGAGAAACTTCAGGAGCCATTCTGAACTGTTTTCATTGCTCTTTTCTTCATAGTTTACATATACCCTTTTTAGTTTGTTTATAAAATGTTTTTTTTAATCTTTATCTTTTATAAATCAATCCAAGTGAGTATGATTTCCTCAATGAATCATTACAGAAAACTCTATGTATGCTACAGTGATGCTGTTCTTTTTGAAATTTCACTCATCTATATCTTCATTCATAATGTGTAGATTTGATAGTAATTCAGGACTGTTTGGTAAGCAAGGTGGTGAACTGGATCAAACACTGAGATTTTCCCTTAATACAAAATGTTATTATAAAGGCAGTAAAATTAAATTTCCCTTAAAGTCTATTATAGTGAGTCTGTGGAACATACAAAATACCATTAAAATAAGTGGACAGTTCTCATAAAGTAACTCTTTTGAGATTGGCACTCATTTGAAGATGTAAGCTCCAAATTATATGTATTGTTCTTACTTTATTGATGCTTCCCTTAGCATACAGACTCTGAAGCTCAAGAAACAAACAAACCAACAAAACATACCTGTCCTGTGGCTTTCCACCCAAATTACTTTTCTGGGCCAGCAAGAGAGATGACAAACTCTCAGAGCCTTTTCCAGAAGATAGACTAGTGGAGCCTGTTCTGTTTTTATTTTTCAAAACTCAAATATTGTCCTTCTCATTCTGAAAGAACCCCAGGAGGTAACACTTGTGATCCTAAGAGGGCAAGAAAGAAATTCAGCCGTGAACCATATGTTTGTATTTATGGTGGTGATTATATGGAACTTAGAATTTAACCTTTAAAAAATACTTAGCCTCGGGTGCCTGGGTGGCTCAGATGGTTAAGCGTCTGCCTTCGGCTCGGGTCATGGTCCCAGGGGCCTGGGTTCGAGTCCCGCGTCGGGCTCCCTGCTCCTTGGGAGCCTGCTTCTCCCTCTGCCTCTCTCTCTCTCTCTCTCTGTCTGTCTTTCATGAATAAATAAATAAAATCTTTTAAAAAAAAAAAATACTTAGCCTCTTCTGTATCAGTGGTGTTTTGTTTTTTGTTTTCCTTTCCCAGCACACACAGGCGAAGAGAGAACTTCCATATAGGAGCACTCCCTGTCCGTGGCACTCTTTCTCTTAGTGGTGGGGCAGGCTGGGGTGGGAAGACAGGATTTTTCCTAGGGATATAGTATTTCTCAATGTAGAGAATGTGTGTGGTTTTATAAGTCCTTGTTCTCCCTCTGTGCTGAGCATTATAGGATCTTCGGGTTTAGACAGATTTGAAGAAATTCCCTGTGTTTTTCTGATTTACTGTCTTTTATATCTATGTTTCTACACTTTGAGGTTGCACTAGTCTCAATAATTGCGATAATTGAGTCTGTAGAGTAATTTTTGATGTTCACAAGGAACCTAGACTCCCAGGGTTAAATGTCCTAAGAATTAGTGTATCTCTAATTATCTTTAAGAGCACCTATTTGAGTAAATTAGAATAAGGGTGTATTTATACAGGCAATGGTAAAGGTATAGAAACCGAAATAGCCTAAATTCTATTTTTTTAGTATACTTGGTCTTATAAGAGATATTATTCTATGATTATAGTACCTTTCTTCAGACCAGACCTTGTTTTTTGTAGGAATAAATGATCTATTCACTTGAAAATCTTCCCCCCCTCCCCCCACACTTCGGATAAAAGTTGTGCAGTGCTTTTGTGGTCCTTATTTTCATTGCTTTACCCCTTTCCAAGCCAGAGAAGGTCTTCCTGGGGTGTATTATAAAAAAGTAACAGCCATTCTATAGAGTCAAAGACCTTTTAAAAGCAGCACGGAAATCCTCCTCGATACACAATGCACCTTTTCACTACAGTGCACTTAACACATCTGCATTTGTGGCAAGGGTAAGCAGCTCCTGTAGCATGAGGGATATTTGTTGTCAGTAGGGACTCGGGCAGTTGTGCTGATGCCCAGAATACAGAGGTTTTAAAGGAGAAAAACCAAAATCACAGGAAAAATGACAACAGAATTGAGCAGTCTCTAAGTGGTCAGGAAACAGATGTACACAAGTGATCCTGTCTTTGATTATTAACTTTCTTAAGCCCAGAATTGTTGGTTTGGTAATTTTTTCTTAGAGGGTATTTTAAAAATAAAAAGAATTCAGAATGCCACTATATAAACATATTCTAACATTCTTCGGGAGATGAGCTGTATCAGGCTTTTCTGCATAATGGAATGTATTTATTCCTCTTCGATAATAATGAGATTTTCTTTATAATGGATGACTTATAATGCTGCAGAAATTAGAGGAAGGAAGCTAGTTCAAATATTATTCTTTTGTGCGTATCTAGGAAATGTTTCATTAAGCTTGTAGTAGAGCTGTGGTTACATACCATTTTTCTTTGGGCATAGTGGTGTACACTCTGAAGTAAGTAAAGCCTAATGTCTTAACAAAGAAAAAAAAACCATTAGTCTGGGTTCTGAGATTTTTTAAAGTTTTTACTTGTAAGTTTAAGATCCTGTGCTTTGATTATAAATGCTTTACACAAAAATATTGAACAGTTTCAAATGATTACAGTTGACAGTAGAAATATAAACATGTAATTAATGAGACTTCTCTGCCAAAAGTTAATTTTTGATACATGTTATTGTAGGGAAAGTCGTCGGCAAATTTACCAACAAAGCTTCTCATTATACATTTCACAAGAACACTTAATCTTTGTTAAATTTCCAGGTAGGAGGCTAGGCATGGGATTCACAGAAGTTAACAAATGATCTTCCTTCCTATTGGAAGAAAAGGATCTAATTCATGAAATCTGCTGTCTGTGATTCCCTGACATTTACATCCCCCAGGATAGGTGTTTCACCATAACACATAGGTTAACAAACACTGACTTTCTGCCCTGTGCATACAGTTGTGCCCTGTTACACATGTGTTTACATTACTGTTATGTCACCATGGATGTTTACAGTTGCCCTGTTCAGACCTACTTCAGGTAGGTAATTTTATCCAATAACAAAGCCAATAAAAAAAAGTACTCCTCATGACACTGATTTTGTGCTTAAATCTGTGCCTATATGAGAAGTGTGGGACTCATAATGCATCAGATTTGATAACTGTCTAATATTCCTCCTTGAAGCCTTTTAATTTGCTTTCCTCTTTGACCTTTTCTCATTACCATAGATGATTAGAAGCATATCATAAAAATTTCCACAGAGAAATGTAGTTAATTGGAAAGTAATACACCTTTTATTTTTAGACATCTTTCTGTAAAAATCTCATTTTCTTATAATTAATAAGAATTAATGAGAATTATAGTACTCCTAGCCATGAAATTCTAGTAATGTTGGCCAGAAGTAGTGATTGCTTGGTGCTTTGATTCTGTATATAAAGGATATGTAAATATGCCATGTTTATCTTTAGTGAAAGTGCTTTTTTTTTTTTACGATTTTATTTATTTATTTGACAGAGAGAGAGAGTACAAGCAGGGGGAGCAGCAGTGGGAGAGGGAGAAGCAGGCTCCCCACTGAGCAGGGAGCCCAACGTGGGGCTCAATCCCAGGACCCTGGGATTATGACCTGAGCCGAAGGCAGATGCTTAACCTACTGAGCCATCCAGGCGCCCCAGTAAAAGTGCTTTTAACAGAGAATCTAAAACCATGACTCTGGGTAGCATACTAACACCCTGATTTTGCTTGATGGCAGATCACGGGATAACTTAGATATACAGAGTTCAGGAGACTTCACGATGCCAAGGTCCTTCTATATTAGTTTTATAACTTTGATCATTGGCAATTTGTATTCTAATTTGAATTAACATAGTAAACATATGACCCTGAGAAAGAATTTATTTGGTAATCTGTTGACATCAACCAAAACTAAGTAATATGTACATGGAAAAGTCTCTCATGGAATTTCTGAGCTCACTGGAATTTCTTCTAGATCGTGATGCTTGTAAATGAGAATCCTCTGCTGGCAGAAGAAGCAGCTCTGAATAAATGCTACAAGGTGATGGATTTGATCTGTGAGAAATGTATGAAGCAAAGAGACATGAATGAAGTATTGGCTATGAAAATGCATTACATCAGCTGTATCTTTCAGAAATGCATTAACTTCTTAAAAGGTGGAGAGAATAAACTGGACACTCTGGTCAAAAGGTACCGTTTCTACCATGTCATGTGCAAAATATACTCAAATGGATAATGTTTCATTATATGAAGCCTCCTCGTAGATTAAAAAATGAAGCATTTTAGCAGCACTTGTTATTGTTGGGCTCACATTTAGTCTGCAAGAAACAAGAGCAGTGTTATGTTTAGGTTGAGTGATTATCCAGTTCTCTACTTTTTACAGTGATGCTTTTGTTATCCCCAGTTTACAGGTGAGGGATCTGAAGTTTGGAGAAGTTTCGGTAGCATGTGTAAGATGTAGAAAGTAGCCCAAGTCCGACTTTGAGGACTGGTATGCCATGCCTTAGGTTGTTGCTCTGAGTTCATCATGGCGCTCTGCCTATCTCCATTACTGAACCTGGGAGAGCTGCGTGTTATCCCTGTCCTCTGACCATCAGGGGTCAAATTCCCGCATAGGTTTACTGAGAAAAGTGAACTGTGTCAGAAGGGTGTAACTTAATGAGAGTTTTCACTCTTCATACAAATAACTGGCATGGTAATAAGTAACTAGCTGCCCCGATAATGGCGGTTAGTGTGTTTTATGGCAGGGGTCCCTTTTATAAATACATCCCAGGGCCCGTAAACCTGATAAGGGCTAGCCTAACCTGCAGGTAGAACAGCAGTTTGAATTTAAGTCTATCATCATGATTGGAAGAGACAGTGAAAATCTCAGGTAGCATAGAAACTACTAAAAGTTCATGGGTTCACCTGGGAGGAAATGCTTAGATACTCAACTCCAGTTACTTTTTAAAAAAATATCTTTCAGCTTGTTAAAAGGCCGAGCTTCAGATGGCTTTCCGGTATATCAAGAAAAGATCATAAGAGAAAGTATCAGAAAATTTCCTTACTGTGAAGCCACACTCCTCCAGCAGCTGGTGCGAAGCATTGCTCCTGTTGAAATTGTAAGGCCCCTCATAACTAAGTTAACTCTACCAGTAAGACCTAATTACCGTATTTCGTACAATTAGAGGCAAGTTCTCTTTAGCATTAATTTATTAATAATTTATTTATGTAGTAGAGAAATAATTATTTGTTATTTTAGACAGTTTTCAGGAACAGACATAGTGATAGGTATGCCTGTTAACCCTGTTTTTGTTCATCCATTTCCCCTCTCTTGGTCCTCTTCTTTCATTTTTATATAGCTCATGGTTTAATAAATAGTATTCCCCTATGTCGGAATGTAGATGGTTACATGGAAAATTACATTTTAAAGACCTCTGTGAAACCTGTAAAAGTGGGTAATACAGATACGCACATGTACACTTGCAGCTCGTGAAAAACCAGTACAAAGTCCCGCACTAGATGGAAGTAGGAATTGATTGTCTAGGTTGATGGTTTCTGGTCGTGGGGATGTGAAGGGATGAGTCATGGGGAGGCTCACTGTATGTCCTGATAAAGAGTCTCATAATATATCCCAGCTTCTCATATTCCACCTTAATGCCTCTGATTATAAATGTTCCATACTTAACAAAATTCCATTTATACTTCCCAGCTATAGGAAGCAGATTTCAACTTCATTCTCTGTTCTTTAAATTATTTATTGCCCTTTTATCATATATTTACTTAAGTAGTATTTCATGAGATACTCCCTGACTTCCCTGTTTTGAACGCATTTCTGTTCACCGTATCGACACCAGTCATGCTTTTCTACATTTCAGTCAAATCCTTTATCGGCCTTTGTCTATTGGGTAAGAAGCTGATCCTGACACCAGTTCCGTCCATGGCTTCCTCCCTGCCCTCCGGCAATGTTGGTTCTTCTCTGCCTTCTCTAGGCTGTCCCATCCATCTCGGGGTAGGAAATGAGGAGAGGTGGGTTCTTGGTGCTCCTCCATACATTAAGACTTCATCTATTCAGAGCCATGCAGTAAGAAAGACCTGAAGAGACAAGATGATTTCATGAAGTTCATGCATTGATTTATCCCAGAAAGTTCTCCATGATTTCATGTAGAGATTTTTTTTTTTTTTTAAGATTTTATTTATTTATTTGACAGAGAGAGACACAGCGAGAGAGGGAACACAAGCAGGGGGAGTGGGAGAGGGAGAAGCAGGCTTCCCGCCGAGCAGGGAGCCCGATGCGGGGCTCGATCCCAGGACCCTGGGATCATGACCCGAGCCGAAGGCAGATCCTTAACGACTGAGCCACCCAGGTGCCCCGTAGAGATTTTTTACCCTTCCTTTTTAATATACTTGACTCTTTGGTATTTGAGCTTTTGGAAGATTAAAGTTAGCAAATTATGAGGGTGGTCTATCAATTATGAATGTGTTTTGGTACACATATCAAACTCCAACTAACCGTGAGTTAAATCAATAGGGTTTATTCATTCCCATATACTCAGAAGTGTAGAGGTAGGCCGACCAGATCTGTCACAGTGGCTCAAAATTGGATTCCCATTTTTTCCACCCAATATTCTTTAGCCATAGAGATTATCATACACGTGCTTATGACCTCAGGGCTGCAATGCATCGGATGCTCTTCCTCCCAGCTCACATTTTTACCCCAGGCAGGCAAGTAAAGGAAGAGGGTTTATAGCTGGCCAACACAAGCTCTCCCAGAAACCTACTGCCTGTGCGGTGTGAACACTCTTAACTTCACAGGTTGTCTGGGGAAATGAGCAGTTTCGGCTGGTCTAGACCTTGCTACTCTGAATGAAGTTGCGCTTCTCTTAGTGCAGAAGTTGGGGGAATGGACATCAGAGAAGCAACAAGCACTGCTGGCCGTGGGCTGTTTCTAGCACTAACAAGTGGTAGCTGACATTCCACCTTCAAAGGGGAAAACAGCAAAACTAAAAATAGCCCAGAGTACTTTCAAAAAAGTCAAAGCAGACCACTGTGGGGTTGAACAATTCATCGTAGCCCTGTATCATAGAATAATTGTCGTTTGAGATGATGCAGTATAATTGTTAGTGTTTATCCTAGTGATCTGAGTCATGGAGAAAAGGTTTATCAATAGAGAGAAGAGAGGATATAATGCATCTTCGAAAACTTTTCTTTCTTTAAAAATTGTTCTTTAAGAGTTATATGTTCTCTCTGGAAAACTGTATTTATCTGGAGTGCCTGTGGCTGTGAATGTCCCAGGAAGCCACTGTTTACTTCCTGATGGGTTTTGTTAAACTCACAAGTTTACAAGCCGCTGGAGCAATACTCACCATTTCCTGTTGCAGGGTAATTCTCAGGGTTGGCTGCCATGAGGAGGATCATCCATGGCACTTAATGATAGTGCTGATGCCTGGGCCCTCCTGCAGAGGGTTCGGGTTCCCTCCGGCTTCTCCCTGTCACAGAGCTCCGCAGGAAGTGTGAGGCATGGCTGCCTTTAAGAAGTGTTGCATCCGCATTGTAACAGAGTATACTCTTACAGATGTTTTGCTTTATCAACTTGCCAGTGTATAATGTGACTTCTGGAAGACTAGCTAAATGTCTCTGATTTTACAGACTATGTTGAGTAAAGCATCCTGTTTGTCTTTAAGTTGATTATCTTTCCATGGGAGGAGCTCTGGTGCCTAAACAAATTCTTATTTAACAAAGTAGGTGACAAGATTTTGTATGACAAGAAAGAGCTCTTGCCACCTGGCAGTGACAAGAAAGATTCCATGTCCTTCTTCAGCTGTGCCATTCATTAATTCTTTTCTGAAGCCATTGTTGACGCTAACAGCCATGCTCCTAGATAAAGTCTGTGTCACTGCCAGCCTTCAGGACTTTGGCTCTTGTGTGCCTGCTTCTGGACAACATTGTTCATGGAGTGTCATCTCTGTAGTCTTTCCACAGTGATTTTAAAGTGTGTTTTCCTCTCTTCATACCTACTCTAGGGTTCTGATCCCACTGCATTCTCTGTACTTACCCAAGCCATCACGGGTCAGGTGGGTTTTGTGGATGTGGAATTTTGCACTACCTGTGGAGAAAAGGGAGCAAGTAAAAGATGTTCCGTCTGCAAGATGGTAAGAATGAAGTTCTTTGAAGTTCATCAGTCTGGTTTAGATTTCATATCCAACTTGATAATTGACTTTTGATATTCTCTAAGTATAATGGTTGACATTAGTTTTCTAATACATCCTAATATAAATTCTAATTCTGTGCATCTAATACTTAAAAGTAATTTTGAAAGAGCAGTATGGGATAAATGTAGTTCTGTGTAGTTCTGTGCCCTATCTTCTGTCAAACTTCCAGGCTGACCCAGCTTCTGTGCAGACCACCTCCAAGAAAGAAAGAATATGAGTGAATGAATGAGAGAAAGATTATCCATTAGGGATTGAGGCTGGTGCAGATATGAGAGCCTAGAACAGGGCAGTTCATAAATACGCCATCTTAGATCTTCTGATGGTGACTTGAACTACAAACTCACTTGAGCTACAAACTCTTCATCTCTTCCTTGTAAAACTCCAACTCCCTTGTTACTGCCACCAATCTTTACGCTCTTCCGGCCCCACTTCTGCCAGCATGATCTTTGTAAAGGGCATATGTTCTCCTCACAGATATTACCCACAAGCATTCATCTGTACATTCACGTTACCCTATAAGTTATATTAATTAATTTATTTAATTATATTAATCTCCTGTTGTTTTCAAGGTTGGAATTCTTCAGCATATTAATAATACCCATTGCATTTTGCTTTAACCTACTTCTCCAGCTTCATCTCCTTTAATTACTTACTTCTTTGAACCTCAGTTTCTTTGTATGTGAAATGGGGTTAGCACTGTGAGAATCCATTGAGACCATCTACATGGGTTAACCGTTGCTGCATGTAAAACACTTAAAATGACAATCATTTGCTAATTTCCCATGTTGGCGGTTGGCTGGGGTTAGCCAGGGCGCTTTTTCTCCATGTGTCTCTTAATCCTCCTTGGACCAGCAGGCCAGGCTGAGCTGTTCTAATAACAGTGGCAGAGGTAAAAGGGGACAAGTAGAAACACAGGAGGTCCTAGAAGTCTAGTCTTGAAATTGTCGTGCTCTCAAATTCCTTTGGCCCAAACAAGTCACACAGCCAAACTTAAGGTGAATTCTCCTTCCCTTCGGTGAAAAGAACTTTGAAATCTCATGAGAAAGTGTACACATGAAGGGAAAAATAAAGAATCGGGACCAATGAAACAATCTACAATACGTGTCCTCTGTATATATGGGCTTAGCACAGTGCTTGGCATATAATCTTGCAAAAAACCTAAGCTCCATTTACAGAAACTCCTTGCTGTCCTTGAACACATAATTCACTTCCCTTCTTGCATTTTTCTACGAGGTGATCTCTCTGCTTGGAATGCTTCTTTCCCATTTCTCTGTCGACTGACTCCCTTTATAAAGAGTGAGTCACTGTTTCCTCTCTGCCCCTGTTGCTGTTACAACCTGTACTAGAATGTGAATCATGTTGTTGGGTATCAGCCTCCCTCCATGCTGCTCCATCCAGCTCTTTCTCAACCCTAGTTTCCTCCGAGACAGCTATGTCTTCCTTGTCATTGTACAATCCTGGCACATAGTGGGTTCTTCATAAATCATTTGTTAGAGTCTTTGGTATACCACTTATTATATATCCATTGTTATAATGCGTAAGCTAAAAATTACAAATATAAATTAGTGCACATCACTGTTTTAAAAGAAAGCATAGGGGTGCCTGGGTGGCACAGTTGGTTGGCATCTGACTCTTGGTTTCGGCTCAGGTCATGATCTCAGGATCATGGAATCAAGCTCTGTGTTGGGCTCCACACTCAGTGTGGAGTCTGCTTGGGATTCTCTCTTCCTCTGCCCACCCCCACTTCCGATCTCGCTTGCTCACTCTCTCTCAAAACAAATAAACCTTAAAAATAAAAACAAAGGAAAGCATAGGAAACAACATTTTTTACAACATGGTTCTTGGTGTAATGTCATGGTTGGAATATCACGCAATCACAGCTCTTGAAATGAAGTAAACTTACAATTGTTTTCAGGTTATATATTGTGATCAAACCTGCCAGAAAACACACTGGTTTGCACATAAGAAAATCTGTAAGGATCTAAAGGACGTTTATGAAAAACAACAATCAGAAGCTGCCAAAGAAAAGAGTGAAGAGGAAAACAGTATGTATATAAAAAGCGAGCTCATACTGCTTCTCATTGGGAATAGGATTGATATTATTAATGATATTAACATAGGCACCAAGGAACTGAGTCTTCTCTGGGGACCAAGGAAACTTGGAGTTGACCAATATAAGAATCACATTTAAATATGTCCCTCTTTGGGGTTATTGGGATAATGTATAGAATATGGTTAGCCTAGAAGTCGCTGGAAAACAGAGAGGTATGGAATTCTAAGGAATATGGTTTATTCCGTATTCTACCTCCTGACTCACGAGAATGCCCTGCAACAATGGGACTCGAAATGAATGTTCACTTACACTCGACTAACAAGGGATGTTAAGGTCTTTGACTAAGGAAATAATTAAATTTCCCCTAATGACTACTCAAAGATTTTAAGGTTGGGAACCTTTAATTTTTTTAATTAAAGTCCAAAGCTGTAGGTGAAATTACAGAGTAAATTTATAAATTACAGATTAGATTGCAGCTCAGATGTACAGATAAGGTTTCTCCAAGTATCTGGGCATTGAATTCCACATTACTTTTCCTCTCGCTCCCTCATGAGGTGTATGACTCATTTTCATCAGAAACAGTGAGTTGCTTCAGCAGTGATTCACAGACTATAGTGGAAACCACCTCCACGCCTGCGCCCCACCCCGGAGAATATATCGTACGTTCTGCGGAGCGCATCTATTGTGGAAAAGTTGCCCAGTTGACTGATACAAAGCGCTTCCACCTCTACCCCTCAGCAGACTGCATTGCCTTCACCACCTGCTTGAGAAACACTAGGAGTAGGATTGAACGAGTTGTACAAAATTTAATTCGTATAAATAAATTTATAAGAAAATCGTCAGGCTTTCTGACTGCCATGCTTCTCCTGTTTTCTGGGCCAAACTTCTGTAACCTGTGTGTGGAGGACAGAGGCTGACCTCTGGTACGGTTACCAAGTGAGTAAGATGGTCAGGCGATTGGAAATTCCTGGTTGGTAAGCATCAGCAGGTGCCGCATACTCTTCTAAATGTCACAGGCACCCTTATTCTCCACCGGTGTAAGTGAGGCTTTATTAACCGCCCCCCGCCCCTACCACACACACACACTTTACAGGTGAGGAAAGCACCCTGCGTGGGCAGTTACCTACCCAAAGGCCTCAAGCTCTTTCACGGCAGAGCCGTCTTGGAAGGCAGCTCCCAGACGAGCATGTCCATCTCAAGGCCTGGCTGTAGCGCCAGAGGCCTGAGTGCAGACCCTGGTTCTGCTGCTCTGCTGGCGGTGAAGCTCTGAGGAAGTTGCCAAACCCTTTTCTTCTCCGTTTCCGCACTTGTAAAAATCATGATAATAATGATAATAGGGATCATTTACCTCACGTGGCTGTTGTGAGGATTCAATAATTTCATATTCGGAAAGCATCCAGAAGAGAGACCGACACGTGGTAGGAACAACAAAATGACCTTTTTTTTTTCCCTCCTTTTTTCTTTTTATCAGATGGCGGACTTGATGTCAGTTCTAACTGTGTTCGTGCAGAGCAGCTCGAGGCTGAAGCGGGGGTCTCCCAAGAGAGTTGTCAGCCGAAGGAGTCTGTGGAAGGGGAGAAAGACTGTCCTCAGAATGGAGGCGGGTTGGAAGGGTTTCAGGATGCTCCTTCAGGTCCGCAGGAATCTGAGGAGTGAAAGGCAGAGTAGGTGCTGGCGTGGACGGTTTGTGCCCTGGCAGGTAGCCGGAGAGCTCACGTGACTGTGTCCTCATGCCTTGTGACCCCTGCATGGCACCGTGGCAGGATTCCATGTCTCCTAGAATAGAGGCCTTCAAGCAAAGCTCTGTCTACCATGCCCTGAGTTCCCAGTGATTTCTGTACTGTAGTCGGACAGATAGTCTAAGGGAGAAATTTGTATTTCAAAGTATCACAGAAACATTTTTATTCCCTTTCTGAGGCCAGCTTCCCAGCAGTTGTTCTCAAAGCAAAAGAGATCCCCTTCAAGAAGAAATACAGGCTCTGGGGAACAGAGGGGCAAGCAGAACAGGTGTAGGAGAGAGATTTTCAGGAAAGAAGAATTTTGTAGCCACTGACATGGGTAGTTAAACGGATCATAGCTTATATGTGAATAAGATGCATATAAATAGCATTTAGAATAGTGAAGTCCTACTTACTTAGATGCAGTGAAATGAAGAAAAGTTGTATGTTACAGGCTCTGTCACAGTTCAGCTCATTGTAGTTTTTATATAGAAATGATCCTGAGCAGTCTGAACTTCACATAGTTCCTGCGGTGACATTTTATCTACAGTGTTTGTACTTTCATAAGTGTCAGAACTAAGGCATAGCCACGATTATCTCAGCATGTGCATTAAAAAGGCTGTTTCATGAAATCTGATTTAATAATGGCTAAACATAGTGTGTCCCCAGTTATAAAACCAATTCATGTGCCATATTCCACTTGAAAGGCTTTTTTCTTCCTGTAAGCTTTTCATGGGGCTCTTCTTGCCCAGAAACTGACTTATAACTGTCACTTTTAGAATGTGCTCACATCTGTTTTTAGCATATGCAGTACGGAGGCAGAGCTAGGGCCTGATTGCCGAAGACAGCGCTGTATTTCAGAGTTTCTTGTGATGATTGTAAAATAAATCATGCCTACTGATATAACCACCTCCACATCTTGTTTCCTGGCTTATTGTTGTTGAGGGATGGCCAATATTAGAGAAATATTGGAGAACTTACATTTTAGGAAATTCAGCAAATACTAGAGAACAAAGAAATATTTTCATGTGTACAATTGCAAATCAAAATGACGACCCACCTCACTTCACTGATCATATTCTTCTGTCTTGCTGGTTCTCCTCTTGGTTACACTCAGTGACTTTTCTGCACCTTTGCACGCCCTCTGGCATGCTGTTGCACGAAGACTTCCTGTGAGTGAATTCAGTGTGAAGGGTTAGCTGGGTAGGCATTCAACAGGCGATTGCACCTAAACTTGTCACTCATGACAAGCCTCTCTTCACCGGTCAAGGTACCTCATCTACACACTGAGAAACATTCCTCTTTGATGAGTAAAATCATCCTGCTAGGCTGCCCTCTCCCACCAATGTTTTCATGTGCGTTATCTGGTTTTTAATTGTTTTGTGTTTTTTTTTTTTGTATTCGCGTCACTGCCATTTTGTGTTATCATTATGATGCCTGTCTTCGGATACCATAGAGGGTTATGAAAAAGCAGGAGGAAATAGGAAAGCTGAGACATGTGGCAATGGAGAGGAACTTCTTCCCTTTGTTGAAGTGAATGCTGACAGGAATCAGAATCTAATACCACTATAACTGCCAGGGTATGAAGAGGACTTCAGGTATAAGCCATGTCAACCTTACAGTTTTCCACCCTTGTATTTCAGGGAAGAGGTGGTCTGAAAATGGAGTTTAAGAGACAATGGGGTTGGTTCTGATTATAATCCCTTCCTTCGTCATACATAATCTCAAATAGGTGTTTCCATTATTATACCATCAAAATAGGTGGTCATCTCATTCATTTTGGTTTTAGCCATGTTGAATTATTTTCAATATGCTATCAAGAAACTTTTCTTGGGGTGCCTGGGTGGCTCAGTCGGTTAACCATCTGCCTTAGGCTCAGGTCATGATCCCAGGGTCCTGGGATCGAGCCCCATGTCAGGCACCTTGCTCAAGGGGGAGCCTACTTCTCCCTCTCCCTTTGCCCCTCCCCCCTGCTCGTGCTCTCTCTCTCTCTCAAATAAATAAAATCCTTAAAAAAATAATCTGAACACTTCTGCTTCTGGGAAGCAGAATAGACATACTTTTCTCTATTCCTTCTGCTAAGTAAAACTAAAATCCCTGGACATTATATATCAAACAAACATAAGGTTTTCTGTAAGATGGAGAAAGAAGGCAGACTGGCTGGGGATCTCGGGATCCAGGCAATGACATTTCGTTTGTTCTCTGAGGGTTGGTTTTTTTGTTGTTTTTGTTTTGTTTTGCCTCATGTATCCCAGTCACGATGCCGAAGAAACTGACAGCATGGAAACACCAACATTACAGATCAAAATAAATCCCAACAAAGGTCTGCCAGCCTCTTGGCCTGCCCTGCAGATTTCAGACTCAAGACTGCAACATCAACTCATTCTTTAATTTCTAGTCTGCCTTGGCCTGCCCTACAAATTTTGTATTTGCCAGCCCCCAATTCCTTAAAATAAATCACTCTCTCAAGTCACTCTCCTATGCATATGCCCTATTAGATCAGTTTCTCTGGAGAACCCTGACTAATACACCAGGTGTCTTTGGGCTGCTATGTAACAAATTACCATAGACTACCATGGCTTAAATAATAAACTTATTTCTCATAATTCTGGAGGCTAGATGAGATCATAGCCAAGTGTTTGGTGAAGACCCTCTTCCTGTCTACAGAGGGCTGTCTTCTTGCTCTGTCCTCACATGGTGGAAAAAAGGTAGCCAGCTCTCTGGCCTCTTAAAAAGACACTAATCCCCTTTGTGAGGGCTCTACTCTCATCACCTAACTAGGTCCCAAAGTCCCCACCTCCAGATACCATCATGTTGAGGGTTAGATTAAAATATACCGATTTTTTGGGTGGGGACACAAACCTTCCACCTATGATACCAGGCATAGTTCCTAAAGGGCACAACTGCTCTAGGGATAAGAATCACAGTATTAGCTGACATCTATCAGGTGCTAACTTTGAGAAAGCCGCTCTAACACTTTACAGCCATTATCTAACTTAAATCTTTGAAATTTTATGAATTATGATTACCATTTTAAATAAGAGGAAATGAAAGCTTAGAGAACTTAGCTAGCTCGTCCAAGTAACAACTAGTAAGTGAAGAGCTAAGCTAGGTCTGATTCCAGAACCCCAGCTTTTAGCTGCTACCCTGTATAGATCTATAAAATGGTATTTTTGGTTTCCTGGTCATGAGAGCTCCTGATAGATACTGAAATCGACTTTCACTCGAAACAGCTTGAATGATTCTCTGTTGCTTAAAGAATTTAAAACACCCTCTCAATTGTGTGTTGCATTTTGGTAGAGTTTAGGTTACTTAAGTAAGGATCCCTGTCTTCTATTTTGTATTTCTCCCCAAATGGTATTTATTACAGTATTTTCAAAATCACATCCATTCAGTAGCCCTTCATTACTGAATATTAAATACTGAGGAGTGCATTTTAAAGCAAATCTTTTTCTTCATACAAAGGAGACCTATTTCCATTAGTTCTTTAAAAAGGAGAGTAAGTAAAATTTGCTAGCTATATTTTTGTAATTGGAATACTTTTTCATCCTTTTCAGTGATTATGGGATTAAAAATAGAATATCAGGCTACACATTCTTTTACAATTCTTTTAGTTGTTAACCTGGGGATTATAATATCCAATTTACTGCAATCTAATTCAAAATTAATATTGCTTATGCAACTTACGGGCCAGCTTAAATCTGATCCCAAATGCACCTTTTCCATCATGAAATAGCTTACTGCTCTGCCCACCCAACATTATTGCCTCATGGGGCTGATAGTACTCAGCTCATGGTGAGTAACGTTGGTCAAAGTTACTTGATGTTTGTTGGTCAGGCTCTTGGTACTGGGGTGGATGAAGTAGCATGCCTGAAGCTGCTCTTTGAACAATGATCAGTTCTCTGCTGAAGGTAGTATGGCCTTATTCAAGAACCTTTTGAGACTGTACCGTGACTTTTTTAGACTTTGCAAGACTCCACAAAGCCTCCTTACCTACCACAAATACTTCTAGCACCATGGATTATACTGAGTTATCCTAATAGTTATCTATTGCTGTGTAAGAAATTACCCCAAAAGATATTGGCGTGAAGCATCAATAAGCATTATCTCATATAATTTATGTAGGCCAGAAATATAGGAGCAGCTTAACTGGGTGATTCTGGCTTGGGGTTTCTCAGGAGGATGTGGAGCAGCTTTTGGCCAGAAGTTCAGTCATCTGAAGGTTTGATGAGATCTGGAGGATCTGCTGGCAAGGACAGCTCCCTCAGATGGTTATGGCAACAGGCCTTAGTCCCTCATTGGCTTTTTGGAAAGTAGCCTCAGTTCCTCCCCACTGAGCCTCTCCAGAGGAGTGCCTAAATGTCCTCACAACATGGTAGCTGGCTTCTTGCAGAATAAGCGATCCAGAAGAGAGAATAAGAGAACATGCCGATCCTTTCTGTGACCAAATCTTGGAAGCCACACACTATCACTTTTGTCTTGAGCCACTCATCCACATTGATGCCCAAATCTCTGCCTGTTCTTTACCTCCATCAGGGATCATACCTGAATTTTCAGACCCTGGCTTTGTATAGAATTGGAAGTGCCCACAGGTGAAAGGAGGTTAGAGATTCTGATGGACAGTTCACTGTTCCCTCTAGGGCTTCCGTCCCTTGTCTGATTTCAGCCCCACTTGTCCAGTGTGTCTCTATCCTGTGTTACACTGTGGTGGTGGTCTAAGCAGGAGGAGATGTCACTCTGCTTTTCGTAAGCTTTTGATCTAGCTCTTTAGCTCAGCCGGGGAAAACCAGCAAGGCATTTTGTCTCTCAGCACCAGGCAACTGCTAAAAGCTTTTCTGATTTCTCTTTCCCCTGAGCTTCTGTCTTCCGGTGAGGCCAAGCTCACATCATTAGCCCATACCCGCAACTGGCAAATGCCTTCAAAGGCGCAATGGAAAGACAAGAGGCTGGATAAATAAATTGTGGTATCATCATACAATGGAATGCCGTGCAGCAATGAGAATGATAGAGCTATCGCCTCTAGCAACAACATGGGTAAATTTTATAGTATTGAGTAAGAGAAGCCAGGCACAAAATAATTCAACTTCTCTGAGTCCACTTATATGCCTTTCAAAGACAGACACGATTAATTTATGGTTTAGAATTCATAACAGTGATTCCTCTTTAAGGGTGGCTACTAATAGGGAATAGGACTGGTAACAGGAATGAAGAGGCCGTTCACGTGCGGGTAATAGTCTCTCTCCCAATCCAAGACTGCTGTTCATGAACATGTTCATTTTTGGAAAATTGGTTGAGCTGAACGCTTAATGATTTGTGTACATTCCTGTATACATGTTTTACTCTAACAAAAACATAAAATGTGTAGGGATTATATTATTGGTATTTCTGCTTACGTTTACGTGGTTCAAATAATATAAGAAATATATAACATGCTTAATCACAGGGAAGTTTAATAAACAACAGAAATTCACTAGGATTTCTAGAAATACTAGGGTTTATCTTAGTGTAACTGTGAGCATTTGAGCAGGTTCTCTGTCTTTCTCATCAAGGTATTTTTCCTCTCGTGTTGGAACTGTGTCCCAGTTCAGGGAGGTAATAGCCATAGCAGATCTCTTCATGGACCTTACCAACACAGCATCTTCTGGGTCATCGAACACAGTTCTGCAAAAATGGCAATTACGTCAGAAAAAATAATCCATTAAGCCACAGTGAAATTTTCATTCAAACAAATGCCATATTTTTCTATGCTATTTTTTTTACAGAAATGGCATTCCCTTTATTTCAAATGAATCTTTTTTAAATTTTTTTAATGTTATGTTAATCACCATACACTACATCGTTAGTTACTGAGGTAGTGTTCCCTGATTTATTGTTTATGCATAACACCCAGTGCTCCACACAGAATGTGCCCTCTTTAATACCCATCAGCAGGCTAACCCATCCCCCCACCCCCTCCCCTCTAGAACCCTCAGTTTGTTTTTCAGAGTCCCATCGTCTCTCA